TCCGCCGTCTCCCCAAGCTGCCGAATGACGCCGACCTCAAGAAAATGTCGTGTGCAACACAAACAGTCACCCTCGAATCCGCTTCTTCCAGCCGTCAATCCAGTCCTGTGAGAGACGATGAACGCACGCGGCTCTTACCCCGAGGCCGCCGCCATTCTTACAACACTCTTCCATAGTCAAGCCCTAGGCCAGTAAGCACTCGCGGAATGCGCAATGCGTAGGAAACCCTCCATAAAGTATGCCTCGCGGCGCATTGCAGTTCGGACACCTGGGCCAATCTGTTTGGAGATCGAAGATAGACATTCCGTTGATTCGTACGTTGTTCGGACGCACACATTGTCCCTCAGCCAAACGGGACCGAGAACTAGCTGCCAATGGTCTACTCGCTGGGGGAGGCATCATTGGTGCTCTCATTGTCAACTGCTGGGTGGAAATCCGGAACGGCTGAACAAATTCAAGCTGCGGATCGAAGATCCTCCCAGGAGGAGACAGATGGTGTTTTTGAGCGGTGCTGTCTTGGCCAATATCATGTCAGACAAAGAGAATATGTGGATTTCCAAGCAGGAGTGGGAGGATCAAGGGCCTCGGATACTCGAGAAGTTGGGTCGGTCGGTTTCTTCATTCACTGTTTTACCGGCCTCGTTGAAAAGATGGTGCAGACGTGACGAGCCCAGCAAGATGAATATGAAAAGCTCGAAGAAACGCCAATCGGTGATGTAACGGACTTGGACGTTCCGATCGGATTCAGAAACTTCAGGGACAATGCAGCCACGATGCAACAAAAGAATGTTCGAAATAGCGTCTTGGACGGAAAGTAATAGCTGACTTCGGCAACACCGCTTCCAGCGGCCGAATAGTAGACGTTTGGAGGCGGGGGATCTTGCGTCTGCAGCAGCTGGGCGCCTCCAGACTTGTCGTCATCAGTATTATCATTGACGTTCTGCTTGACGGCTCCCAGGTTCTCGTCAAAAGTCGAGGCGATCTGGGATGGCACGACTGTCTTGGAATAGAGAGTGATGAAGCACGCCAGGGCAGCGAGCACCACCGACCCGATAACAAATGCCACGTCGTCGATGTAGATATCGTCCATACTGGACGGGTGGATAAGCTTGGACTAAGTCCTCTATCTGTCACAGTTGCGTTCGCCAGCACAACAGTCTGTGCGACCAAGATACCAGGCGCCTCGACAAAAGCCACGCTTGATATCAAAAATTGCCGACTCGGTCACGTCGACAAAGTACGCAATGCCTGCCGTGATCACACCGATCATGGCAACAAGAATCCAACCCTGTGCCGAGTCGAGAAGCAACGCCAGGCGTCCTCGGCAAGACGAAACTGAGTGTACCTGAACCCTGCCCAGTCATATTCTCAGTCATTGACGCTATCTAGGAGCTGTCAAACTACAAGTCCGTACGGCCATGAGTGCTTATGGTCTTTGTGACACTAACCTAGGTACAGAGGGGAAAATATAACTAGTGGTTACTCTGCGGTCGGCGGCCAAGTCCGGTCTGCGTACACACGCGGCAATGTTAATCCAGACGACAGCTCAGACGGCCACAGCGTGAGTTTGTCTACGGAAAGGGGGCCAAGAGGCTATCGTTGACAGCTCAACAGAACCCTTCTGGATCATCTTCTGGCTCAGCCGTTGCAGTCTCGGCAGGCTACAGTCCTTTCTCTATTGGCACCGAGACCGACGGCTCGCTCATCGTGCCGGCAGGCAGAGCTGCCCTATACACTATCAAGCCAACCATCGGCCTCGTCCCGCAAGCTAGGATTGTCCCTATTTCGTCCACTTTCGACTCGGCCGGTCCTATGGCTAAGACGCCCTACGATATGGCGGTACTCCTCGATGTGATTATCGACCCGGAGTAGAGGCCTGAACAGAGCTATACGTCTGTATTGACGGGAAGCTGGAGTGATATCTCTGTTGCAACGCTGGATCCTGAAGTTTGGAACTTGTCGAGCTACTGGATGCGGCTAGTCGAAAGTGCCACGCAGCAAATGGTTCATCTAACGTTCTCTCCCGTCGAACTTTGATGTTCCGATCAGCCAAAACGATGAGACAGAACCGAGAGATCCGTCAAGTATATGCCAAAATCGAGGCATTAGCCAAATCGTACGCTGATAACGTGCCTTTGATTCGCCACGACGTCTTGATCCTGAACGGCAAAAACAGCGAGTATATAGTTACAGGTGAAGTCTGATATACATATTTGTCGGCCGGCATCCCAGACTGACAAAGCCTACAGCTGCCGACTTTGTCCGAGATATCAATGCCTACCTCGCAACTCGAGTCAACTCCACGGTCCGAGATCTCCAAGAGCTGATAGACTTCAACGAACGACACGCCGAGCTGGAACTTCCTCCCTATAAGATTAGTTCTTTCGAGCGCTAGCTAGCTCTCCCCTTTCTCTCTCTCCACAATAATAACATTCGAGAGCAGATTCCCCGAACCAAGACCGGCTCAGACGAGCGTACTAGCAATCACTCACCGCAGACGAATACAACGAGCACTTTGAGCACCTCCGACATATGGTCCGAGACCAGGGGATCGATTTCGTCCTCGACACGTATGGGGTCGATATAATCATGGCACCGGCGGACAGCCTATTAATTTCCTACGCGGCCTACAGCGGTACGTTACTATGTCACGAAACGGTCCCACCTGACCAAGCTAGAATCCTCTATCCAGGGTATCCAATCGCTACATTGCCACTATCATACCTCGACTACAACGGCCGACCCTTTGGGCTTTCGGTGATTGCGCGTGAGAATCAGGAAGCCCTGTTGATTTTGACGATTGGATATTTAGAGTCATTAAAAGAGAAACGGCGAACTAATCGAGAGGAATTCGGGGATATTTACGAGAGTTTAACCATATGTCTGTACAAGAGGACCGTGGCACCAGTGGATCTGGAAGAGGCTACACTGCAGACCGTCCACCGCTGACGTGTTTCGACTGTGGTGAAGTTGGACACATGCAGATAGGTTGTCCTCGATTGAAGATTTGGCTTGATCAAGGAAACATCTATCTCAATCCGCAGCGGAGGATTGCCCTTGGACCAGCTAAGGAAGGAGTCGATGCCCCCTCTGTGTTTTTCCCTTCTCAGCAGGGCCGGCTAGGACACTTAAACACGCTCTCGAAATCGTCTAGCAATGCTAAGGGAAATGTTCGAGTGTCGTATCCGAGCCGGAACGTTAGGAGATCCAAACATCCTCGAGGAAGATTCGGAAGAAGAGTTAGGACATCGGGTTGCGCCAATCGAACAAAGAATAGGCTAAAGAGTCGGAAGCAGGACATGGGATGAGCGGTATCCCAAGGATCCTGAAGAGAGCTCAGGAGGAGAAGAACTAGCCACTACGTGAACGAGGCGTTGGAAGCCGCGGTTGAAGACTCTTTGGAGAGAGAGTCTGGATCAAAGGTCCCTCGTCGAGTGGGCTTTACTGAATCAGCAGGTCCCGGACAGTCAAGTACAAAACAGCCAGGACACAGTTATGGGCGATCCTGAACCTTCAGGGACGCGCCGATCGCAGAGGGTGACAATGCACGCAGACAACCTATTGCCACGAGAGAAATTGCAGAAGGCGCTAAGACGAATCGACGGACCAGAAAAGCTGGCTTCGTTGATCCTGTCACAGGAATTGAGAGGCGTAACGATTCAGGAGTGCTATCTAGCTCTAAAGAACTCCGTGGCGAGATGTTTTCGAAAAAGATCTCGGAATATAAAGACGAATCTCGCGAGGTTCTGCGGCATGGACACAAGGTTTCCACGATCCGTGTGGATGGACAAGATCGGCTCGCGTATAAGCAAGAATTGCTACATGCGAAGTGTCTTTTTGTCAACGTTAACACTCGGACTGGATGTGAACGAGGTTTGGTGGACAGCGGAGCCGAAGTGAATGTGATGTCGAAAGATCTAGCGGAAGAATTAGGTCTCCTCCCAATTACGCCTCCGCGAGCTGTGATAAGTGCAATCGGGTACGATGGGAAACACAGCTACCGATTCGAAGGAGCAGTCGAAGGACTGGCCATGAATATCGAAGGGATTGAGGTGACAACCCCTGTTCATGTTGCGAATGTCATGGATCCGCAGTATCGTTTGATACTCGGTACTCCTTTCCAGATTGCATCTCGTCGGTGACAAATGAATCGGAGAGAGGACGGGACTTGCTTCGTTATTCTCAAGGACTAGGAAACGTCGAAAGTAGTGGGGATTCAAGCAACAGAAGAGGAGATTGGTAACGATACTAAGACTGCTGAGATAGTCGAGTTATCACACGGGGGCTTGAACTAATGGGCGAACAGGAAAATCAGAGGCCTCTGTTCGCGAAGGCAAGGAGGCTGAAAATCGATATGGCAACGTGGAGTGGTGGAGGCGGGGGCAGAAGATCCTTGTACAGAGATGTGGCTGTACAAGAGGTAGAGGCGTCTGCGGAAGAAAAAGTCGACTCGACAGTTTTATCTTCAAACCGGGCGAAGGGCTTCACAACGAGCAATACAGAGTGGCGAGGGTCTCTCGCCGGAGAGATTCCATCAGTCTTGAAGAGGACATGCGCAACGAAGCCTTACATAGGAAGAGAAGGAAAGTAATGGCCCCTGTGGCTCGAGTGGACACCTTATACAAACGCAAGGCAGATAAAGTACTGCCAGTCAACACGTCCAAGACTGATGGAAGTACTCCTGGAGGCTTACTCGAGTGGCGAGGACGAGCGATTACAAGAGAAAAGGCAGCGGGGCTCTATAACGAACCCCACCGATACAGTGACTGGATTATGCCTCGATTTGCAATATTTCCAAGGGGATTCAGGCTAACGCCAGACCGGCTACAACGTCTACTGATTGGGGATCTTCTCCAATCCCCCGAAAAGGATGTTTTTAGTTGACATTCTATTCAACAGAGAAGGGCCGCTTTCCTGGACTTTCTCAGAGATTGGCAAGGTTATTGCCGAAGTTGCTCCTCCTCGGGTGATCCGAATAATACGACATGAGCCATGGTAAGCGAAAAGCTTCCATATTTCAAAGGCGTTGGAACCAGAGGTGATTGAGTGAGTAAGAGATTGTGTGAATAAGGAGGTCCTGGAGCCTTGTCATAGACCTTACCTGAACCCGTTCTTCCTGGTGGCCGAAAAGAAGCCGGGCAAATCCCGAAGGGTAGATGCAGCAATGAGCATGAACAGCGTGACGATTCGAGATTCAAATCAGACGATTTTGCAGAAGAGTTCGCTGGCATGTACATCCTGTCCTTGCTTGATTGGTTTTCAGGATACGATCAGATCGAACCGGGAACTGAGTGTAGAGATATGACTGCATTCCAGACTCCATTGGGACTCATAAGACAGACGACTCTTCCCCAAGGAGCGAGAAATTCGGTGGCTCAGTTTGTCAGGATTTCCAATAACGTTTTGGCAGCGCAAACCCCAAACACTGCTCGACCTTTTGTGGATGATATAGTGATCAAAGGCTTGAAGACTGACTATTCTGAAGAGGGAATGCCTTCCTGGGGCTTTCGGAAGTTCGTCATGGAGCACTTGCAGAACCTGGACCAAGTCCTGTGCGACATTGAGCGTGCTGGAGCAACCGTCCCCAGGCGAGAAATCTCAGTTCGGAATGAAAGGCAGGGATCTGCGATCGCGAAGGGGAGAGACATCCTGATGCCCTGAAGATTGAAAAGATTATGAATTGGCCAACACCAGGGAATCAAACGGAGTTAAAAGGCTTTCTGTGCATCTGTGTTTACTATCGCATCTGGATTGAAGGCTATGCCCTTCGTGTTTGTGTGTTTTATCGATTGCTGAAAAATGGAGTTCGATGGGAATGGAAGAAGGAACACAACGAGGCGATGGAAGCGTTGACGATCGCATTGACTACCGCGCCGGCGGTTGTGAGCATTGACTATGATGAAGGAGCGGGATTGATCATCCTTACTTTTGATGCCAGTATCGACGGATGGGGAGCCGTTTTAATGCACTTGGAAGGGAACCCGAAGCGCAGACATCCCGTCAGGTTAAAGGCGGAAGCTGGGTATGATGCTGGGAAGAGGGAGTGCCGAGCTCTACTGAAAAGCCTCAAGAAGCTCAAACCCTGGTTATATGGTGTAACCTTCTTGGTGGAGTCAGATGCGATGACTCTTGCAGCACAGCTGAATCCGTCAGCGACGGATCTTCCAGGGGCCTTGGTTACTCAATGGCTTACATGGATTCGGCTCTTCGATTTTGAACTTCGATATATGCCAGGCGCTAAGAACGTGGTTGCGGACGCGCTGTCAAGAAGGCCTACACCGGAGGAAGACATTGCTGCTACTGAAGAGGAGGAGGATATCGATAAATGGGTCACGGCTCAACTTGATATGATTAGGATTCGGCCCATTAGGAAGGTGATTGACGATGAGGACACCCTCTTGTACAGCCACAAGTCTGTACTAGGAAGAGAGCATGTCCAGGCTCGAGTCAGCCCCGTGCGAATTGAAAATGAGTCTGAAAATACCGAAGCGAGCGGGACGGGAGAGCACGTTTTCTCTTGTTGCTGATCGATACTTTTGGGAGGGCTTATATAACGACGTGAAGCAACATGTCAAGATATACAGAGAATGTCAGTCCAGATCCTCATTAAAAGATCGAAGATAGGTAAGAGGTGCAAACGGGTTCATACCAATGTTACTCCGATGCCGAAGTCTTATAGGAAGGAGTACCTCGTTGAAGGCCAGAAGTGCTTCCAGCGGATGGGTTGAGGCGCGAGGTATAGCGCAGCACAACAGTCCGTTTATCTCCCAGTTCCTCTGGGAAGATGTGATCTGCAAAAATGGAATCTTCAGAAGATTGATTGTTGACGGTGGTCCAGAAAATAAGGGCCTGACAGCTAAGTTAATGGAGAAATATGGTATCAGAAGAGTGGTCCTTTCAGCATACCATCCTCAAGCAAATGGAATAGTTGAGGTTGGGCATCGCGCGACTGCAGATGCACTGGCAAAGACTTGCCGGAGACTCGACCGAAAGGATTGGACGGGTCACCTTCATTCTGTGTTATAGGCAGATCGGACAACAGTAAAGACCAGCACTGGCTATACCCCATACTAGCTGGAGTACCTGCAGAAGGGGCCCCTTTGATCAGTATGGAAGAGGTAAGGGAGGTCAAAAAGGCCTGCGGGTGAAATGATTGGATGATTTGCTAGCACAGCCACAACTCTGTACTAGGATTTCTTGTACAGACTTCTAGAAAAGGCTAGCGCGAACCTTACTTCAGGGAAGCCGATGGACCTCGGGATGCAGAACGGTGGAGCAGACGCACTTTCAAACGGTGCAACTGGCACTCGATTCTCTATGAAACATGGCTCAAAACTTGATCTGTTACTGTTCCTGGTCGTGTTACTTGTTGTTTTCCAAACACAGTGCCCTCTGACGCGTGAAGATAAACCTTGTACATGGTTGTGGCTGTACTAGCCACCACCGCCACTGCAGCCCATTCACAGCATGTCCTCATCCGTCAGTCCCAGGTGCCGGACGAACCCTCGCTTTCTGCGGCTCGCTTCGCGATCTCCCTGTCTTCGCTGGCTATAATCGGACCAAACCTGACCGACCTTTGCGTCCATATTGGGACATGCCCCTGCTGCTTTTTGAAACCCGAATCAGGCTCGGCTCAACTCCGGCTCAGCCTTCATCAGGGCGCACCGCCACGGCTCAGGTGGCTCCCTGAGTAGCTCAGCCCTCTCCACTATCCTTGTAAGTTACCTCGGCACTGCTTGAGGATATTGAGATGGGTCCGTTTTTGGTCCTCTCTAATCTGGTCAACTTTACTCGAGCAGCACCCGTTAAGGGGACCCGATTTTGGGCACCCTGATGAAGCCTGGTAAGGGGGACCTCCAGACACCGTCGGATCGCCTTTTCTCGTGGTAGGAAGACGGTCGTCCTTCGCAATGCATTCCCCTCCCTCTCCCTCTTCTTCACTCACGCAATCGTTCCTTCTCCCTCCCCCCTACGCTTCAGGCTCCTCACTGTGTTCTGCAAAGTCTCGCAACAATATTACCGTATCCTCTGTGCTGCTGGTCTTTATTGACCACTGTATCTTCTCTCGTACACGGGTAAACATGACGAGAGGCCGTAGGAACATCGTTGAACGGGCGAAGCAGATGGGTTACAACGAGGAGGCATGCAGTATCGTCAACGGTGACCGGCTGCTGCCTAAGCTCGAGGATGGAACGATAGCAAACCACCAAGCGGCGCTCAGTGCATGGACTGAGTACGTGGCAATCTTGGACTTCATTCCTACGACGAGCTAAACGGACGGGCAGTTACGTTGATCATATGAGCGAGACAAAGCAGAGAATACCTTGCACGGACAACCTTGAGGATCTGAAGGATTTCGTCTATATAAGAGCCAAGGTAATCAAAGGCACACAGAACAAGACCGCAAGTGTGGAAACCGTTCGGAACTACTGGAACAACTTCACAGGCGCTTGGAAGCGATCATATCCTGCTATCAGAGACGATCTCAAGGAGTCAATTCACGAAGTACGTCTCAAATCATCCTTTCCATCGTTAACGCAGCAGCACTAACCCACGAACTCAGTTCATCTATGGGCCATTGAAAGAACTACTAGGTCTTCTTGACGAAAAGAAGCCTCGAAGATATGCAAATGAAAAACACCTTTTGATCTATGCCGAGCAGCTTTGGAGCAGAGACTGGTTCATCTACTAGAGACCTGGAACGAGGATCGACGACTGGGCCTTACAATTATCCAACGTTTTCAGCACTTCACGGATTGGCGAATACGTTGAACCTAGCGCTCGACGCGATAGTGACCGAGGGTTGTACTACAAAGTAAGTGTATCCCCGAACATCTGACGTCCAGCACTAACGGTGGTTGGTTATCCAGGACGTAATGTTCATCTGCTTCTGGAATGAGGACAAAAAGCCAGAACTTGCTATTCAGCTTACGAAGGATGCAAAAAACATGTCCAACGCCCCCATCAGTAAGAGGTAGGAAGCTGATAATCCTCGAAATTCCCTACGTCTCCTGCTGAACCCCATGACCAAGCCACGACACGCTCTGACGGAAGGTAAAGACTTGGACTTTCTCTGCTTCAACAGCCTTCTTCCATTCCTCTCCCGGCTGCTCGAGCTCGGAGCATTTCGGAACCATAGCACCATTGAGAGCCTCCTAGCTGTCAAGCCGCCAAAACATACCACTTCTTGTCACATCCATTGGAAAGACCACATTCTCGACACACCCTTCTTCGAAAGCCAGGCCCTGAGCCGGGCTGGTAAGATCGAACGGGCGGAGGCATTTGGGAGAAGGATGAAAAACCTCGGGATCCGTGCGGGCATGCCGGAACCACCAACGCAACATGACTGGCGGGCGGAAGGTCTCTTCAAGACAGGTAACTACGGCACTCTCCCTTAACTATTTCCCTCTCGACTAACACCATCGTCTCACCACAGCGTGGTTTTCGATACCTCGGGTATTGAAAGGTATCATTATATTCAAGATCAAACGTACGAAATAGACTCTTAAGTCTTTTCAAAAGTCCTAAATTAAGAGATTATTAATAAGGCACTAGTCTCATTGTGTCATGAATGACAAGCATATAAGCTAAGAGGTCCAAGATCTGTCATGAAATGACAGGATTCTTAGTCTTTTTGGGCGATCCCCAAGGGGCTGTGGACCTCTTCCTGACAACTGCGGCTTCACCTTTACACACACTCAAATGAATTGGGCCTACAATTTTGGCCACTCTGACTTGAAACTAGTCTATATAAAGCTAAGCGTTGCTTCTTGACATCGCCAATTAACAAGAAGTAAGCTCTGATCACGTGTAACACTTTACGGTCCATTACAGACGACTCTGCCGCCCAAAAGCAGTGGCAGAAAACGCTAATAGCGGCAGTACTATTTTAACTTAACTAACCCGTGGCCGCTTTGTGGAGGCTAGAAAGCCATGAACCGACAAGTGGATGCAGGTCAGGTACCGTCGACTGTCCCACCCTTATTCGAGCTTGCTTCGGCTATCCCAGCAAGTAGTATGTCATGATCACCTGCCGGCACAACAAGATGCCAACAAGGTTCAGCCGCATCGCCTACATAACAGCTAGATTCGACGTTCAAACCTAATTGTGCAGTCTGCAGCATGGTTCTGCCTGATACATCTCGAATCGCGGACCGTGGCTCAAATTTTTGAGCGATGTCTAAGCCTTCCGATCGACTCGATCTGTGAAGATTTGAATGACCCTTAATGTCAGAGAGTCTTGGGGTGGGATCGTTAGACGAAGAGTCAGAGGGTTGAACACGTATCTTGATTTGTATAAAGCTGTCCTTGAGACATCGACTTCTCGCACTGTTGAGGGCCTCTCCAGCAGTGCGAGAATAGAGGTCCTATTTATCTCTTTCTGCGTATACCTTGTGGGGGCCGCCTTAGCACTTGGGGGCCACTCGCCCCATGGAGTGTTGTCGGCCGGGAAGCGCATTGTAACAGTCATTGTAACAGCCCTGCTTCCCGGGTGACAGAAAGAAGCCACAAAGAAAGAAACCACAAGAAAAGAAGCCACAAGAAATGAAGCCGCAAGAAGAGAAACCTCAAGAAGAGAGTGTAGAGTATGGAGAAATGCTTGTGCTCGGTAGAACGTCTTGTCTTTGTTTATTGTCCCCTGCTGATCGTTTATAGTGTCGGCTCACGCAAAATTACGAGATGAACTTCGGAACCTCGTTCGTGGCTATCTCACCAAGAAGGTACGGCTCACTGAGTTGGGACATCAGCCAGTGTGATTGTAAAATCTTGCTCAGCGTTAGGTAGCTTAGATTAGCTTTTATGTGCAAGGCTCTGATGCGACATGGTACCTTCCCATATACTATGCCTTGATAGGGTGATCTTTTAGAGAAAATTAGATGAACACAGGCCGTGAATTTAGCTGTAATAACATTATCTCGCATTATATAGTGAATGATTGTGGTAAGTTCTACGTGATCCAGATCCAGTCCCTAAGCCTCGACCGCACAGTCGCAAGGTCCAAATAGCGGCATGTATGTATCATCGATGTGCGCACGTAGACAATTTTGGTGTAGAGTATGCTTCCCGCAAGCTTTCCAAATGATACTCGCACCATCTCTGAACTCTTGACCACAAAGATAACACAAGCGTGCGGTACTCGGCAGGGTTTTCAGCAAGTCCGGCGTAGACACACAAGGAAACCACGACTTCGGATCATATTTATCCTTCTCCAATTGGAATTTCGAGAAACATTTAAGGAGTTCCTGGTACTTAGTATCGTCGGACTGCACCCTGCTGAAGGCCTCTAGTCTAGCCCATTCAGGTAGGTCATTGAGCACTAAGTGGAAGAGCGGATCATCGTTGGGTATGGCATTGAACAATGCAACACAATGCTCCCATGTTTTACACACCTGAATGACTGGAGCGAGACTCATTCTTTTAGCAGGAAGGTCGTTACGTTTCACAACTTGACCTAAGAAGTCTTGCAGCGGGTTGTCTTTATTAATGTTCTCCTGCCAGCGTTTGGAGGCGCGACCGTCGGGACTATCGGAGTCGCTCCGTGGACGTTTTCGAGTGAACTCAGAAGTTGACGTCAGGAATGATGTTATGGCTTGGAGTGTCTGCCGCTTCGCCCGAGGCAAGTTATCGATCTCATAAGGTCCTTCCAATGGACGTTTTTGAGATGGCATATTTTAAAGCCGCTTCAAAACCGCGAGATCTAGAAATTTTGACAACTTAAGAAGGCCTCTTCAGCTTTGCTGCGAGGACGATGATTTCTAGATGGCGGGCGGGCTTGGATACCAGTTATAAGTCGCTAATGACCCTATTTTGGGAACCAAGGCGACGCCCGCTAGTAGTCTCAACCTATCGGCAGTCGCCGCAATACTGGTATCCGATTTTGTGTAAATTCAGATTTCTTCAGGGTAAACTGAAAGAAATTGCAGTTTCACGTTGGTTGCGTACGGTCCATGTCATTGCATTCATCATCGATGAACACCAAACCCGTCCTTATGCCTCGTTGCTAGTTAGTAACTTAATTTACTGAAGACTGCTGCCCACAGGAGCCTCAAAAAATGCACCTCGACCTAGCCTTAAAGGCCCATTTTTGGACTCTAATCCCCGGCGGTCCGTGAGGCATTCAACTTCTGGGTCCCATCGAGAAGGACAAATTCTAAGGTCCTGTTTCTGGGTATACTAGGCTCAGTATTAGTATAAAAGACTTCCCCTGCTTAATTACGAAGCAGTACTCCTAGCATTCTCTAGTATCTACCAGCCTATTCCGAAAGGCTGTCTTAAGCATGGCTCCCACAAAGCAAAAAAAGATAAACCAAAAAACCTCAGACTAGCGATGAAAACAATACAACAGACAAGTCCGAGGTTAAGATAAGGGCTAGAGCAGAAGCACTACTAAAGGGTCTAACGGAAGGTGAAGAGAACGAGGAAACGCGCCTGCGTATTGCCAGCATACAAGACTTTCTCAATCAGGCAGATAGCGAATTGAACGAGGATGACCTGATGAATTTTGATCCAATGGACTTAGACACAGACGAGGAGATAGTCAAAGACAATGACGCCGCAAAGAATACAGCTGAAGAAGGAAAACAAGACGCCGCAAAGGAGGCAACGGAAGAAGAAAAACAAGACGCCGCAGAGAAGACAACGGGAGGAGAAAACGCAGGCGCCGCAGAGAAGACAGGCACGACCCTGATTAAAACTTTGCTCAAGGTAAAAAAAGAGCCTGACGCCGACAGCGGTGACGAAGTTCTCCTGTTCGTGCCTGACAAAGATTCGGACTCCGAAACCGGGGAGACCGATGCCGATGGGGATCGGGTTCTGTTTGAGAGGTTTGGTCCTAAGCGTGGAGACGATGTTGTCACCGTTGGATGGATCGGAGGCAGAAAAACCCAGTATCTCAACCGTTTCGGACCAAGAAATGCAGCAATACACCGAGTCGAGGGGTCTGTCGCTACGCAGGCGTATGAAAATGACAAACCAGAAACCGAGAAAGTGAGCAATCCCACCAACCGATTCGGAGACAAGAAGCTGCCTAACGGCAATTTGGAATTCACTAAACGGCACATTCGTGGAATTTACGGGGTTGCGTGGGAAGGCTCCGGTGAAGCATTCGAGGACGACTTAACACTCATTGATCCAGAGGTGGCGGGAAAGGATGGAGATAAGTGGATCCCCACATACGTGTGGATTGGTTGGGACGTCGCCGGTACCGTTCGGAAAGCTTGGGAACCAAGGTAGGCTTTACGTGCCAGATGGGGAAAAAAGGACGCGGACAAGGCTATCTTCGAAGCGGCTTGTACGGCGATGAGAAGGTATAACGAGGTTGTGGCCGGTAAACGGGAGCCGAAGAGCAGATCGGCTTCGCGTGGCCTCGCAGACGACACCGTAAGGTTTTTCCGACAGCAATCACTCGGCGCAAACCGGGAATCCCCAAGCAAGACGTCTGCGTCTCGCGCATCCGTATCGCGCATGACACGGATGCCGTCTACATCACCCACCAGAACTACCAAGACGAAATCCGGTGCCGCTGCTGCGGACCATTGGGCAGAGGAACGTGAAGAATTTCAGATGGACTTCTGCATGATGGCTGGTGTTGAGGCCTTCCAGCAGCTGACAATCGAAGACAAGGCAGCTTGTGCGAAGGGATGGCGTCTTGCGAAGGCCGAGTTGATGCAGGCTGCTTGAATTGACAACGCCAAAGGGGATATGTTTCCGTGGATGGTTTTATGTAGGTCCTGATTTTTTCATTATGGTCGCAAGCAGGTTTCACTCCTTAGTGTGCGTAGTTTTATAAATTGCTCAGCAGCCTTGAGGTTGGCATCCGAATAAATAAGACATGGCGAAGTAGGACACTGGCTCGTGACGTTGACAACCCAGGAGTGATAAATAGAAAGCATAACATGGCGAAGACTGCTGATCAGCTTCAAATTGTCAATACCGTACTCGGCCCAGCTAGCTTCAACCATCCAAACCCTCCTCTGTTTTACCTCCGGATCGTGCATGTGTTAAGCCACCAGTCTTCTTGGACTTCTTCTTCTCGCGTTCGCTCGACGGTTTGTTAGATCCACTCGCACATGCCATCATTGCACCTGCTTCGACACATGCGCGCAAACGTTCCACAAGTTCCATTTTCATACGCTCGGAATCCTGGATGGTGTCCCACCAGACGGCTGAAGTTCCAGACCACCCTGACTCCACAGCCCCAGGTTTCGGTCTGTTGTGGAGTTGGCTATTGGCCAGAACATCAAATTGTTAACGACAAAGACACTGCGGGGCAGATTTAGACGCACCACTTCGCTGTATGCATATTGTAAACTTGCAAACTCCTCCTGCACGGCATCAGTGTCAATCTCTTCAACGTCAGTCGAGCCAGCCTTACTTCCACCAGTTGAGCGACCCTTGTCGGCGTCGATGGGTCGTCAATGTTGGCGCGAGCGGCCATGGAATCGTAATGGCGGATCACTTTCTCCCGATCATTGATCTCCAGTAACGTAAAATGATTACCCTTGTGGCTCACTGGGCAGAAATGCACAAGATGGCCCGCGTCTCTCCGTACATCTCCTGCCTGGTCGCGGAGACGAGCCACTCGCCGCGCCCACGCTGCAAAGGGTCTTCCGATTGGCTTTGTCGTTCTGGTCTTCCCGACATCGTCCAACGGGACACTATACCCATGCTTTACAAACTCGGGCTTGTCCGAAATGTCCATGGCAAGGTGAATCAGATCGTCATTCAGCCATTCTCCGCATTGGAGTCTCTCGAATGTGTCACAGGGAATCGACAAATCGTTGACTGAGACAGTGTCGACCACGTCGAGCTTGCGCTTCCCCAGGACCCTGGTGCCGACATCTTTGATCAACCCATGCACCGCCACATCTAATGAACCCTGTGGCAACGGATCCTAGGACGAAAATTTTAGTTTCAGTACGTGTCACTTCCATGGACTCCTATTGCTTACCGAGTCCAGAGCAAATGTCATCCGGAACTCCTGGATCTCTGTTGGCGAGACGAGCTTCTCCTGGTACAGTGCATCATATAGGGCGTGAAGGTCGGGTTGGCCTCGTTCAACCAACAATTCCAGCTGCGGACTGAGGATATGGAGCAGCCCCATATGCTTCGGACTTTTCTGAATACCTTTGATCATTTGCTCAAGATCTTTCGCCTTGGTGTAATCCCTGGGACCGGGATGTCAGCTCGGACAAATAGCCGTCTCAGACAAGACTTGCCAGATCTTGGGGCTGAAAAGAATGCCCAAGCCAACAGCTTTGATGAGAGTCGTCAATTTCTGTCCTCGGCTGAGGTGCACACTGATTCTCTTTCTCTCAGTTCGCCGATAAGCTTCGGTCACACCGGCGCTTCTGTCAGGATCCGGCTCGGTCGCGTCGTCTTCTGATGCGTCATTCAACCTACCAACGCCGCCAACCCAAATTCCCTTTGACAAAGATCCTCTTTGCATACGTTGCAGTCTGTCTAGCACATGTTTCGCCGCACCTTTACGCCCGACAGGCTTGTTTCTCTTTGATCGAACCCAAGTTTTGGCCAGTGCGACCTGTCTGTCGTACCATTCCCAAGCGCCAATATACTCGATCATGTTGAATATCGTGGTCTTCTGGTGCTGAGTCGATCCCATGCGTAGTATGTTCATCCACATCGATCCATCTGTCCATTGGTCTAAGGTCGAAGGCTCCGATGACTCGTAGCTGTGTTTGCGGTGCGTTTGTAGGATTCTTGCGTGGATCTGGGTCGGCACTGCGTATGGGTATTTACTGAGATAATGGATAACTCGCACAGCCTCGGTGACTAATTCCAGCCAGGAAGTGGCTTCCGGTGAAGACGATTGTGACTCTGACCCCGATGCTGATGGGTCGGCTGCGAGTGGCGTCGGGCTGGTGCCTGTTACGGTCGATTTTGGTTCGGTTCGGGTGATTGAGGCCTTTTGAGGACATGTCACACCCTGGGATGTGGCACTAGGCTCCTGGCCTTCAGTCAAGTTGAGAGATGGAAATGTTGCTGCCACCTCAGGACTCTGGTCTGTCGTTTTGTTCAATCCGCCTGCGGTGTCCCGGCCATGTGCCGCTTTTTCCTGAGTTCGAAGTCCGCCACTCCGGGTGGTGCGCCGTTGCTGGCCGGATTGCGACGCTATCTCGGGGAGTGCATCGACTTCACCATTTTTCATGTTCCCATCGACCTCCCCACAATATTGCCGCACAGTGATAGGTCCGACATCAGGAGTGTCCATCGCGCAGCCAGCCACAAGTTGACTGTCTTTTGCCAAAGGGGGACATTTTGTAGAACTACTGTTTGCCGCTAAGACTTCGGTGGCGCGACGCGTTTGGTAGGGCAAGTTCTTCCTCGTCTTACGCTTTGGCGACGCGAATCGGCTGTTGTGATCCTTGGCCGGCTCCTGTTCCTGCTGAGGAAAGTTTTTGATGCTGTTGCTCGTCTCTAGAATGGTCTTTGCCAGCACCTCGGCGAACTTTGGCGCTTTTTCACAAAGTCGTCGGATTATCAGTGGGAACTATTTGTTCATCAGGTCTCGGCGCCCAAAGTCTCTTGGAGATGTTCGTGTGCATGCCACGTACCTCATCCAGACGTTGAACGTCCATCGTCAGATCCGAAGGAACTGACTGGACGAGCTTTTGGAGTAGCACGAGGACTGCCGGTCTGTGGCCCCTCGATCGGCTGTGAGTGAAATTACGTGAAGGGCCAGAGTTCTCAGACTCCATTTTGAAAGTGAGGATTGGGACAAAAGAGTGAATTCTTGAGGGTTGGTCTATGTATGAAAGTCATCTAAGGAAAGACCAGGAGGGCAGGCTGGGGGTTTTGAACTTGATTTTGTCGGGCTTTTCGGCATCCTGGGATGCCAAAACGCTCGACGAGAAGTTCCACCTGAGGAGGATCCGGACCTTGAGGACGTACTGCTGGTGGCACAGCTCCAGGACCCATCACGCTTGTCCAGTCCTTGCGAACCAGGGCATGCAGACGGGCGGAAACACTTGGGTTCCACAGTGTGCGCGCAGGCAACTCGGTTCACTAAAGCGAAACAAAGAAGCCTTGCCGGAGGAGAAGTTGCCTTGGACCGGCAAACAATCATTCATTCCGGCCGGTCCTAAGTCCTGCAGGACCAGTTTGCCAGAGCAATGTTCAGCGGTCAGTCGGCTCCGACAGTTACGCTCAACTTTGCATTTACCTACGCAACTACCTAAGCATGCGAGGCCCCATCCTGAGACGTGGGTCCGACAACAAGGCAGACTGAACCAGGGGATCTGGTCATTCGGGGAGCCAATATTGCGCACTGGGATCAGGGGTAAGGTCGTTGCAGCATCCACAAGAACCGGACGGCCTTGAAAATCGACGAAAAACGGCATGTCACATGAACTTTTACCCGCCACTGCCCGGGCTTCTTCTCAACCCTGTGCTGGCGCGTGCCACTCTTTGTCTGTGCGTACAGACCGGCCCCTAAAGAAGATGTCACATCTCGGGCCGCCTACGGAGTGGTGTGCGAGTCTCGTACTGCAACCGTCAGGTTCATTACGTGGCAAAATAAATACGTGGCTGGGTCGTGACACTCTTGCCATGACCGATGTAATGGCATAAACCGGTTCACGGTTCTGTTTGCAGGCCATCATCATTCGACACGAGATTGACAAGCTCGGCGGATAATCCAAGGGGCGAAACTGTGCTTGCGCGGAGAGAGAACTCCCGGTTGAATATCGTGATGCTGTACCAACCTTTTTGACCAGGTAGCCCAGCTTCCAGGTTCTGGTAAGTACAGTCTGTACCAGCTTCGTGGCCTGCTTGAAGGCGTGATCTCTCCTCATCTCCACGACCTTCATACTTGGGGAATCACTGCGTCACCATTTGCCAACTTCGCATCCAGATCTCGCAACCGAGGCACCTGGTCACTCACGATTCCGCCAATCTTCGTCTGAGGTGCAATACAGAACTTTTTGAGCGCAAGGTCAGAACCGATGACAGACTTTTCCCTGTCAGCTTTCTAGATGTGCTAAGAATCGTCGATCATGGTTGCCAGATTCTGGTGCCCATGAGAGCCTCGGACGAGCAGAAGATGGGTCTGTGCGTTCACTGAAGAAACACTTGATGAATGAAATAGAGATACAGCTTGACTCGACTTGACTTGGTTTCATTAAACCTGACCTCTCTCTCCATAAGGGAGTGGCATGCTGCGTGTATAGAGATACAGTAAGATTGCGCTACAAATTTCCATGGCCAAAATGTCTCATGTTTCGCAAAGCCTCTTGTTGTTTCCGGAATAGATAAGGATCGGCCTAAATCTCGAGGCTCGGAATGGCATCCAAGCTCTCCAAGGAGATAGGACCTAGCCAAGTGCCATTGGCAAGGGTTTTGTAATTATTGGGATCCTCTGCAAACCTCCTCACTGGCCTTGTCTTTAAAGAAACCATTCCTATTTCCTCGACTGCCTTTAACACATCTGCCACGTGGTTGTCAGCTCACTCCGTCAGCACAGTATCATGGATTCTCCAAGGAGCCGATAAGCATCCCGAGCCACGTTCTCTATGTAAAGATAGGGGCAAATACCTTTTTTGTTTTCTCCACTTTCTCGCACATCACCAGGGTTGCAACCTCTTTGTCCCACCATACGTGAAAGGGGATCGATTCTGTCAGGAGCCTTGAGAACGACTGGTGCTGAAGTAATTTGGACGGTTCCTGACAAAAGGCTATGTGTGGCCCTCTCAGCTACATCACGGTTGTCATCATAGGCGTCCAACATTGGTGTTGCTGGTAACGCGAGCTGTTGCACGCCGTCATCTCCGCTGGAAAGGGCCTCAGATAGGCCTTCCAGGGACTTCATGTGGTCACCTTCGTATCGAGCTTCGCTCAGGGCGACGCTTGTTGGCAGTCTGGTATGACCACTGTATATCTTCTTTTTCCCGGTCAAGTCGATGGACTGGTCGAGCTTACGGTCTGGACAGGTGGAAGGGAGAGCATAGCAATGAGAAAGACAGTCCATTGCCGTTATTGGCCCCTGTAACATCTGCTAGAAAGTACGCGTCATTCCCCGGCCACGAGAACGACACTCTTCTTATGCGTGCACTGATAGAGGCCTGAAAGTGGTCCTTCGCTGTCATCGACCGACCAACCACTGCATCACCCATTTTCGGGACTCTTCACGCTGGGGAGCTTAGTCAGGGTTGTTTTGTAAACCAGGGGGCCCATTTTCGCACCTATTTTAAGCCTCCAAGAATGCTCTAAACATCTCCGGCTGGATTCCAACATCTTCCTGCATCGAAAATTATTGGCAGCCAAATCTACAGCATCTGTAGACTTAATCATGCGCCTAAACGCTCTAGCATCAGTTGCTATGCTTTGCGGGAATGTGATGGCAAATCCTACAGGACGTTGGAACGTCAACGTTTCCGAACCAATATCTGCTCTATTTGCGAACGCCACTTTCCATCACCCGGAGGCCACCATTCAATTTCAGATAGGTGGGCTCACCGGCTCTGCGATCATCGATCTCAACCCAATGGAAACCATATCCTCTGTCTTCAACACGTCCTCGTCGGTCTTCTCTACGTCAGCCTTTCCCACTACATCCGCCACGGCGTTTAGGCTCGATACTGGCAATCCGAACAGCCTCAGCGACTGCCCCAACACTACTAGCTTCAATGCCGCAAGCTTGGCACGTAGTCCCTCCTTGAGTACACCACCGACCTTTCGTACAACCGCACTGCCGGTAGCCTTCAATGATAATCTCACCACCTCCACGGGAGGGGCAGTCCCAGCTCAACCTGATACAGCCTATCTTCTCGCATTCTTTTGTGCGACGTTTGGATTGTGGTGTTGAACACGACCGCTTTGCGCCTCGCGCACAGGATATGTCACATCGGTGAGCGAGATCAAGTGGAGGAATGGTCGAAGGAGTGTGTCGTTATTGTGCCGGCCAGCACACGACTCCAGGTATTTAGCTTGTCGCGGAATTGTTTTAAAGCTTTCGTAGCTTCGTGCGAATAATTAGAAACATTTGTTACGTCACCGGCTCGTCTACGGGTCTTCACAGAGTTCTCAACAACAACTCCCGCGTTACCCAAGATAGATTCAACTGATGGCAGTTAGTTACGTCGAAAGAAGCTTTGCTGGCAGCCAGAGCATGGAGGCACGTCCACGGCCATTCCGGGCTCTCAAGGTGGCTCTGAGAGACAGATAGGAGTAAGTCCTGACGTACGAAAATTTTGTTGTTGTCAGTGTGAGAGAACAAGCAAAGCGCACCACGTCCTTTATTCGCAGATTGATGTGTCATGACCTCTGCCCATCTGCCAAGACCTCTCACTACTGTTGTCCCAAGGCCTTTCGTCCTCAGCACTACACCCTCCTAAGAAGTATCAGGGTCCACTATTCAAAGGTCGCGAGGCGATACTACCGCTATCATGCCTTCACACCCCCTCTTTAGGCTTCATCGACTGTTTTCGCTTTCTGCTCTTTCTATAGGCTGCACTGGCCTCCGAAGTTATTTGTTCGGTCGGTGGCGATCCTCTTTGGCCCTGGGATCTTTCCCGTGTTGACTCAAGACTCTCCATCTTTTGCGTGACATCGCGGACATGATCGGCAGCGTTTGCTAGTGCATTTTGATGCTCGTGCAGGATCTTTGACTTCTCATCTTCAAGCTCCCGAACGCTTGCTTGAAGTCGTTCTTTGTCGATGTCCTGCTCGATGGAGTACCAGTCGGACTGAATTGTGCCACACGATTCACAGATGCGTTGGATTCCTCTATCCTCTTCGACCTGTCGTGTCTTCGGGTCCGATGAGGCCTGCGTTTGAAGCGCGTCCTGATAGCGCTCAATCTCTCCATGGAGGAGTAAGCACTTGGTCGTCATACAGTGAAAGTCGTCAATGGCTCTCTTATGTTAAACTTGAAGGTTTGTATATAAGCGAGTGTATTCGTCACGGATACGGTGCTCTTCATAGTATGCCCTTTCATACGCATCCTGCCTTTGAGCGTACGGACCGATACGAGAAAGACTCAAGCGAGCCGCATCCAAAGTGGCAGATACCTCGCAAAGAGTTTGTTCAAGACTGACAACTTGCTCGGTACTCTGGAGATTTTTTGATTGCCGTCTGTCGAAAGTGGTTCTCATTTCTCCACGTCTATCACACAATGTCCTCTGTTGACATGAGTACCGAGCATCAAAGAGGTGATTTTTAATACTCACTAGAGTCATTCCTTGGTGCTAAGGGTGACTGTAAAGCTCTGATAAGGCTATTTTGAGGAGGTCAAGAGGTTCATCGACTGGATTTTTAAATTGAGGTGCGTGGCTGTGTTGTGACAAAAAAGCTACGGAAGACTACATCTAGGTGACAGGAAGAAGAGTTTCGTTACACGCAAGCGTATTTATGGTAACTCTTTTTAGGTCGCCAAAGGGCCTTTTCCAACTTATAGCGACTTCAGCGATGCCTCAGGCTTCCCCAGCCCTTGATCGTCTGACCATTGCCGGAAAGAGGGCCCCGAAGAGGGCTGTACCTGACGCGCGGGGCACACTGTGGCCAGTAATGGAGAGGTTCTAATAGGGGCCACATACCGGTCCCTAAACCTGGACAGAGATTTACAGCGCAGGAGCTGTTTCAAATATATTATCGGCTTGGAATACGTCGGCCGGTTTTGACACCCGTGTATATCTAGATGTGTCGGCTCACAACCGAGGCATTCCGGCAGGTGAGGAGTAGGGCTGCTTCGTGTATGGGTTCATTCCACCAGTCCTCATGATTGATTCTTTCTCTTGTTGAACTAATGCACAGCCAGGACAGCAAAGAGATATGCAAATGTCACCTATACCACTGCCTTCGATCCCGTGGTTCTGGCGGAAGTTGCCACGATTCATTGCCAGTAGGAAGCCACCAACACCGACAGACATGAGCACATGGAATGCGCAGCACTAATGCTGATCGTTAGCTGACGGTCACCAGTAACATCACCAAAGCTTTACCATTGAGTTACAACCGCCAGGATCTCGGTCGCCGCGCTCTCTGGAATGCGTTCTTCCAAAAAGGTAGCCAGGGCAACATGTCGCTAGACAGCCTATTCTGGTGTTAGCTTGTCCGAAATCCTGGCTTATTGGAATAATATTGTGAAGCTCACATATCCCTATTGGAGAGCAGCTGTCATGAATGACAAGCATATAAGCTAAGAGGTCCAAGATCTGTCATGAAATGACAGGATTCTTAGTCTTTTTGGGCGATCCCCAAGGGGCTGTGGACCTCTTCCTGACATTATCCTGTCATTTCATGCGGAGCCTGTCTCTGAGATCTACACGTGGGACGTATAGGTACGCTGTGCTCCCGTACTGAGCTACGCACGGTAGGCGAGGGTTCGATCCGCGTAAAAGACATGAGTTTTTTATGGCTTTTCGGATTACGTAGCTTTTGTGCGTACTTGGCGAGCCGTGCGTGCGGGGTCTGTGTCCTCCCCAAGAGTCGACGTCTCGGAGTACTTATTCGGACCTGCCTATGCGACTCGGGGGCGAGCCGCCTAGGAGGAGGGGATAATTGTCATGAATGACAAGCATATAAGCTAAGAGGTCCAAGATCTGTCATGAAATGACAGGATTCTTAGTCTTTTTGGGCGATCCCCAAGGGGCTGTGGACCTCTTCCTGACAGCAGCAATCCAAAACTCTGAAATTCCATTGATTACCAGATTCGGGCGTCCTCGCAGCCCCACCATGGGCAACGTTAACTGGTGGCCTTGATACCATAGTTGAGCAAATGAACAATAAGCAGTAAAGTAATTACTACAGTACTCGTATAAGAAGGAGCAAAAGGGACTGTTAAATAGTTTCAAGAAGTGACGTGTACAATTTCTCGGTAGGCCGAAGCGAGCGTGCTCCCTTGAAGTGACGCAAAAATCTCTCGGTAATGCTGGTCGGCAAATACCACCCTATCTAAGTATAGTATCAAGTGTTCAATGCTTTGATATCCTCTTACCAGGATCGATCAGGTTCCTTCCTGCCCGGAAAGGCATAAATATTGGGCGTCACGTAACCAAGGATTGACGTAGTAAAGTCAGAGTTGTGGCAGAAACGGTCCGAATCTAGTAAGAACACCGAGTGGTGTGTAACTACTAAGCATCTGCTATACCTGGTAAGGTATTCATTTCCACTCTTGATGCCCATCAAAAAGCCTCCCGTTGATTCCCGCGATACGATAGGTCTTGATTGTATCCCCCAGGAATTGGTTATACTGGCGCAGCATCTCGATCTCGCGTGATTGTGACTCTATTTTAGCCAATAGGCGATCCACAGCGGCCTGTTTACGCATTCGGAAGTTGCGTTGCGATTCTCGATTCTGCGCTCTCCGCTTCTATTCACTGTTAGCTGAATGCTACGCGCCTGGAGTTCGAAATTGAGCGGGATATAATCGAAGAAGACTCGCTTCCGTGCCGCGTGTACCGACCTCCAATTTAGCGTTCTGGTCGACCTCGTGTGCGTGTTGTGCGTCGACGTAACTACCTAACTCTGAGTTGTCGGGTGTCCCCAGAGTATCTTGGACAGGCGATGTGAGATCTATGTTGTGAACCGCCCCGTGTCGACTGCCGTGGATTTCTGACCAATATCCAAGGAACAAGTCATCAAGTTGAGCTGTGCTGTCATTCCAAGCCCGATATGGCGAAGGATGACCAAACTGTGTACGTAGTCAACAACAAGATTCGATTAATGCAAAGGCCAGACCCTCACATAAGCATCGTCACCAAATATACTAGTATCTTCTGACTTGCCGTTCTGTGCCGTCTGCTGCCCGTACTGGTGACTTTGTGGGTTACTTAGAGGTTGCGGCCGTGCGGGCTTTTGAGTATTCACTCGAACGACGGATGTGAGGGTGTCCATAGTTACAGTGATGACCTAGGTTGGGATTTGGCTGTCCTGAATTTTTGTAGAATGGCTTTATACGTACATATCAGACAGGTTGCTAGGGCCGAATCTGCCTCTAGCTCAATCCATTCGGGCGACTTTGGACACGCGGAACCGAAAATTCGTCGGCTCGAAGCCTAGGTCGTTCTTCCATTACCCTCTTGATCTTAGAACGTATCCTTTTCTCTTAGGCTAGGGAGAAAGTGATTCTGGTGGGCCTGTGAAGATTTTATCGTGGCAGCAAGGCAGCAGTCACCATGCCAGGATGTGACCTTGTCTAGTTTGCTCTTTCTTCGCAATGAGTTCCGGTTTTGCTAGGATCATTCGGGATGTCTACCTTTTAATTTTGGGATATTTATAGCGACCACCCAAATACGGTATAATACGGTGGAAGAGGAAAAGACAAGGATAGTGCCCACAAAAGTTGCTTGCCTCTAACTCACAATCTTTGGTGTTCTAGGCTTCACTGCCATCTTGCTCAGGAGTAACGATTCTTGTATCCGTGTCCACCACCTCGTCCACAAATGTTTCCACGTTGTCGCAATCTATCGTTCCCCTCAGCAGATTTCCAATCTCTTGCACAAGTCTTGGAAGCCTGTTGCAAAGCTGCGGTCTCTCTGATTTAACTTTTCCTGCTATATACCCGATGTCCTGGAGTGAAAGACATCGATACCTTTGGAAAGTTAGCCTCGACTGCCCAATACCAGTGGGACGAAAACCAACATGTCGGGGTCGATCGGACATCCAGGACCAGAGGAACACAACAGTGATCGCAACGGTAGCAACATCCACAGCGGAAAATCGAGGCCGCACACATCTTCAAACAACATAAGTGAGCGTCCAAGGTAGTTGCACCTCTGTACGCGTTTTTTGGGGTCAGCTCGATCTTCTGGTGGATGTCCCCAATACTTGATGAGCCAGTCATACGCCATAGACTTAGCATCGACACCTGAATTGCTGGCAACCACACCAGATTCTTCTGTTCGCGCCGGTCGCGTTGTTTCCTGGCCGCGCCACTGTCGCGCAAATTTTTTGGCTTCCTCGTTAGCTTCCTTGTTCTTTCTCAAGACTTTCTGCATCTGCGTGGTGAGAGCGCGGAAGCTGCGGGCAACCAGTAGCCAAGATACGTTCTTTTGAAGAGCCCTAAGTGATCGGTTGGCTTCACCGTGGTCAAACACTTGCATAATAGACTTCAGTGTCAGTGGCTCCCAGGCTGACGACGAGCGCAGATTCTGGGCGATTGCTTTCAAATCCTGTAAAACCGTGGCGCAGCCAATTGCTGATGCAAGAACGTCGAGATGTCTTCGAGGCTGTGAAAGTCTCGTTTCTGTGAGCAGATCGCCCCTTTGAAGGTCAGTGGTGCCGTTTCTGAAAGTTGTTATACCTTCGATCAATGTGGCACTATCGCAGGTTAGGTAACTGAGACTCTCTTGTGCCAAAAGATCGCCTAGCAAAAGGCGAAGATATCGTAGTCGTAGGAGGCTCAAATCCTCGATAACCTCTACATCACCTCTCAGAAGCATCTCGGCCTCATACAGAAGAATCAAGGCCGAATTTAGACCGTCATCGGCCAAGATCTGTTCACTGTTAGGAAGTCTTTAATGGAAGGGATCCGTCATACCTGTTTATATTGAAAGTCCCAACAACTATCAGCGACGCCTGCGGAGGCGAGACAAGAGACGACGTCGTCGTGGGGGAGATTATCGTGGATGGTCACGATATGGTCCAGACCATTCACGCTCAACAGAAAGGAATGGTTTCCTTGGCGAATGGGAAAAAATACCATCGAGGTGGGAGACTCGTAGGTCTCGACCAGGACGCGGTGGAGATGGTCGGACCGGCCCACATATACGTCGTTTCGTCCCACTGTCAGGATATGGAGGATCTCGAAAACAGTGTTGTCGTCGAGGGGGGCAGACCGTCGGAATGTGTCTAAGATGTGCCTCACGTCAACGGTCTTGTTAGTTTTCCACAGTAAGCGTCCTTCATGCCTGAGCCCCAGGGCAGTCAGGGCATCGATTGCTCGCGCGACTATGAGCGAAGTGGGTGGAGGGCCGGCCGGTTGTGTTGGCCCACTTGATACTGGAGTTATTGCATACTGGCCGTGCAGCTTCGCTCTGCTTCGGCCAGCTTGCCAAGCATACCCCATCGTGCCTGGGTCATCGAGCCAGGTATATTCGTTCGAGATGTCTCCTTGACCGATGATACCACGGACTTGTGTATCAGCCTCGAACCAATGCTCCGTTATGTCCGTTGCCGTAAGTAGCTCGGGGGACAGGTAAGGAGAAGTGTGACAAGTGTAAAACGGGTCGGACGAGCCGCTTTCATTTACCATGACGGTCGACAAATTTTCGTTCTTGTGACGCAGAAAGTCCATCCCGTATTCCGAAAGCATTAGGTTGCTGCTCTCGAGGCAATTGTCCGGGTTCGGCAAATTTTGCGTGTCAGAGTAGGGGACAAACCAAGGAGCGAGAGCGTCAGGAGCTCCTGTTCTTCGGATCTGGCTACCTTTCAGAGAACCGTTATCTCTAAAGCCGACGAAGTTGCCTTCGGCCTCCTGATGATAAATATCGCCATCACTTCGGAGGGGAGCGTCTTCGACCTGGGTAATGACAGGTTCTCGAGTTGCGCCGGCCTCGGGGCTGTGTCTGGACAGCGAGCGGGCGTGGCTTCGTACGCTCGCGTTCGAACTGGAAAGAAGTTCTGAAGCGCACCCGGTCCCTGTGGCACAGTCTCGGTAAAGCGGCGGTGGCAGCCAGTCGACATCACAGCAATTCATAGTCTCACTAAGGCTCGGTCCAGTCTTCCAGGTAAAGTAGTAAGCGTTCTCTTCAATCTTCACGACTTCTCCGGGAAACTGTGCGAAGACACTGGGCATGACCCCCCATCTTATCAGCTCCGAGGGCGAGACTATCACGTTGCTATGTCTCACAAACTGTCCGCAACGAGGGAGTTGATACACTTCTTGTGCGACCCGAGCCTCCAACCGAGCTGCATGTCTCGGAGGGATGACCACCCAAATAGTAGGTTGTCCGTACCATAGGATATTGAGAGATTGCAAATCCAGGGCTTTTTTGGACATGCTTGTGAAAAACTGGGCGTTGTTGAGGCTCGCATGGTGAGAGTAGACTTTGCTGCCCCCATCGTGGACACTTAGAGGTCTGTGGTTGATCGACAAGTGCTTCTCGGGAAGCCCGAGAATTCCACGGAGCTGGAAATCGTTGATGTTCCAGGTCGCGCATTCCAGAGGCTCGCTCGTGATTCGGTATGTTGTGCTAAAGCAGATTCCAGCGCAGTGGTGAGGTCTGACCATGTCCATCGCTCTCCCGGCCGGAAAAATGGCGCAGGTTTCGTTACGGCTCGGACCCTGCTGTTCTCGAGCCTTAAGATCCCGTCCTTCGAGTAGATTCGTTGACGATAGGCGACTGCAGAAAGAAGAGCATCCTCATTCAAGCACCATCGATCATCGTCATGATCCTGTACCTTACTATAGCCTTGCCCAGATTCCCAAGGAATTCAGGATGAGCAGCTGGCGAGGGCAAGCAAAGCCGCCATCCCGATGTTACGATCCCAATGGCACACTGAAAGGCGTACAACCTTTTGCCCGTCGAAATAAATCTATTCGGACGTACGAAGCAAGTTTATTTGTCTCGGAAAGCGACCCTCGATAAGCGCCGAACTCTCCGTAGAAAGGATCTCTACAAATACTGTGACCTAGGCCTGGCTCACTAGTTTCACGGCTCTCTATTTCTATCACCATTGAAGTCAGACCTCCAGTGATCAATTGTTACGACTCATTCGTTACACTGTCACCATGGCTCACGAGCGATCATCGTTGGAATTCTTGAGACTTCTCCGTAGATACCGCACCACCAAAGGCCCGGCAGCTAGGCCCTTTTGTCTGGAAACGCGCTCCTCCAAAACATTTATCATAGCATCATGCACACTCGCTATCTTCACCGATTGCTTTTTGTACGGCATCGTGGGTTCTCCTGTACCGCAGAACTGAACGAGCTCCACTGACTGACCTCTTTCAGGTCGTGCCTGTCTTACCGTTCGCCTTGACTGAACGTGTCGGTATTGCATCCGAAGATGGTACAGTCTCTATATGACAACCTCTCATGGAGCGACATTACTGATGTTTGCATGACAGTGGGACTCTGGATAGCGGCCCTTTTAGCTTGCTACGCGGGAACCTGGCTCGTTTTTGCGCCACTGGCAGGATACATAACGGACTACTTCACCTCACGACGCACCACATTCGTCCTTGCTTTGACCACACTGACCGGAGCCACTGTCCTCATCTACATCGGCTCTTCGATCGGCATGTTGGTAGTCGGTCGGGCTCTGCAGGGGGTATCCAGCGCCCTGACGTGGACCGCAGGGGTCACGCTGACGATCGAGACGGTTCAAGAACACGAGGTGGGCCAAACCTTGGGAATTTGCAGCTTGGGCATGAATCTGGCTCTTCTTCTAGCTCCAGTTCTCGGTGGGCTGTTACTCGAGCAGAGTGGATATCACTCGGTATTCGCGATCACGTTCGCTCTTCTGGCACTGGACGTGACATGGCGATTGACCCTGATCGAACGATCGGCGGTCAACCCTGGGCAAGGACCTCCGCAACACGTATACTGGACCACGGTATTCGGAGAGAACGGCACTCCTCGGATTATGCCGTCACCCACGCGAGAAGATATCCCTAATCTAGAGCCTCTTTTGGTCTCGGCAGAAAGGCCGCCCCTCGAGAGCGATATCGATTTTGAGGACTTCATTGTGAGCTACAGGCTCGGGGAAAACTCCGTCCAGACCATTTCTCCAGTGCGAAGGGACGTTAGAGAGAGTGGCCGTCGAGGCAAAATATTCACCCAGACCATCATCCCGTTGATGCGGTTGCTTCGACGACCTCGCCTCGTGGTCGCGCTCTGGGCCACTTTCGCACAAACGACCATAACCACCTCACTGGATGCCGTGCTTCCGCTATTTGTCAAGGATAAATTTACCTGGGGTCCACAAGCCGCCGGACTCATCTTTATGCCGATCGTGTTACCAACTTTTTGGGCTCCATTCGTCGGCGCTGTCACAGATCGCGATGGTCCTAAATGGATGACGAGTATGGCATTTATCTTGGGATGCCCTATCTGGATACTCTTGAGGCTGGTCACTCATGCCGGGGTCAGCCAAAGCGCGATTTTATGCATCCTACTGGCTATGGTCGGCGTCACGGCAACACTTGCCACCGCTCCGCTTATGGCAGAGATCACGTTCGCGGTGAAATCTCAGAACGGCATTGCCCGAGGGAGATTTGGGCCTAGAGGTCCGATCGCTCAAGCCTACGCTCTCTATTCATTCTCACTGGCTGGTGGTCTCTTGGTCGGCCCTCTTTGGGGGGGGTTGATCATGGAGTTAGGCGGCTGGAAGACCATGACGTGGACACTGTCGCTGCTGAGTGGTGTCACCGTTGGGCCCACGATCTTCTTTACGGGCGGTCGCTTGCGAATGGCCGACATTCGGTGGCCGAGGGCGAGAGCGTAAGACTAGCTCAAGAATACTACGATAGAGGTTATCATGCTTGGCAGAAGTTCTGCCGCCGTGTCGAACAATGCACTTTAGCGCCATGACGGCCGAGTTCACTTTATCCATACCAGCATCGCTCGTGATCCGTCTGAAAACAAGTTATACCGATTCTATCGAGCAGCTACGCCAGCCTACTTCCTTGCCACCGTCGCCGCTCCACCACAATGCATGGCCTACAACTCTTGTGCACCTGTGTTCACGATAAACCCAGGATAGCCACGGTCTGCCAAAGCACGACATAGCGCGAAATAGGCTGTCATGCCTCCTAACCAAAAAAGTGCTTCGTCTGGCCGGTCAGGTTTGTTGATCATATACCAGGTCTTCGTGCCCGCGAACAGCGTCTTTTGCGCGACGCGAGCGACCTGACCCTTCCATTTCCTCTCTGCCTCTTCACAGGTGTCGAAGGACCCTCCGTTGTGACATACGTGAGTCAGGAAGGTCGAGATCCAATTGATCTGTAGCTCCGCGAACCGTGGAGCCACCGCGAATGCCGTTGGGGATTGCGGGCCACACACGAGGACCATGTTAGGAAATCCAGCACACGTCATTCCCAGGTACGACATCACGCCTTTTGACTCAGGTAAGGTCATTTTGTTCGCCTTGTCGCTGACGCCCCATTTCTCCCGCAAGCTGAGGCCGTTCCGGCCTCGGATGTCTATGGCCAGTTGACTTCCAATCCCAAAATCGTAGCCGGTCGCAAGCACGATAACGTCCAAGGCATAGAACCGGTGGGGTGCAGTGTAGATGCCGGTCGGGGTTACTCGAGTAATGTCGTTTCTGTTCAGGTCAACAAGGTCGACATTGCTTTGGTTGAAGATCTCGAAGTAGTTCGTCTCGAGAGATGGTCGTTTTGTCCCAAATGAATATGGAGGAGACATGGGTGCGAGCACCTCGCGCTTCTGAATGTCCGTGATACGAGATCGAGTTTTGTCTCGCCAGAACGCATACGCTTCGTAGTTAGCGCGACGGTCTGTCAGGAGATCTCCATAGTTTCTCCACCAGAAGTTCTGGCCGCCTTCTTGCCGAAGCTCTTCGAAGTGCTGTCGCCGCTACTTTGGCGCATCGTCGAAGGTCTTGCGACGCGTGAGCCGAAGCTCGAGACCTGTGGGCGCCACAGGCCGGTCACCACGCTGACTGGCATGTGTGGAAATCTAATCGAGCGTTTCCATACGTCCAGCTCTATCCGGATGACGGGGCATAGCATAATTCGGAGTCCTTTGGAAAACGGTCAGCTGTGACACCTGAGGGCCCAGGGTCTCGATAATCTGAACGCCGCTGGAGCCTGTGCCGATGATGCCGACACGCTTTCCTCTGGTGTCCAGATGTTCGGGCCATTCAGATGTGTGAAAAGCCTGCTGAAATGTTTCTAGGCCCTTGATACCCGGAACAAATTTCTGCCCCGTGTACCCGGTGCAGGGTAGGAAGAAGCGTGCGGTAACAAAGATTTCATCTGTCCCCTCGCCTTGCACATAAGTGACCCAGTGCTGATTTGTTTCATCCCAGAGGGCTCTATTGACGCGGGTGTTAAAGACAATATGTTGCCGTAGGCCGAGGACCTCGCACACCCGACGAGCGTAGGCCGCGATTTCTTGACGTTCTGGAAAACGCTCCTTCCATGCCCACACACCTTCCAGAGGCAGCTGGTACACCGAATGCTCCTGATGGTAGCGTCAACATTAGCCTTTCATCCAGAACACTCGGCAACAACGAGGGGATAGTAAACGCCCATGGAGGAAAAAAATCGAGATGCACGCGCCAAGGTCAAGACTTCTAGCTTGGGTGACAGGGAGCACTTACAGTATCATTTCGACATCCAGGGTATCTCGTGTAATGCCAAACACCGCCAACATCATCACAAGCATCCACACAGAGGCATTCAAACCCTCTGGTTCGAAGTTGATGCAATGCCCACAGACCACTCAAGCCTGCCCCGACAACAAGGACATCGACAGACACGACTGAAGGCATTGTGCTGTAGCATACAAGAGTTCGTGCGCTCGTGGCAGAGTGACTCCCTGAGTTGTCACTGTACGCCGTAAATAGTTCCGCAAGACGCCCTTCGAACATCGGCATCGAATCCACAATGGGACGGCTCCACAGGAAAAGGTAATTGATAATCATATCATTGATTGCTAGCCTGAGGAGTAAACTTTTCATGCTCCCTCAGCGTGCATTAAAATGATACGCTTCCTCCCTAATGCAAGGGAGGAAATGTTCTGAAAGTGGGTTTAAAGTACTTTGCCAGTGGTGTATAACGTATGGTTATACTCGTGGGAAGCACTAGTGAGTCAGCGGCTAGCAAGTCCTGCACGTCTCAGCGACAGGTACCCACCACAGGTTTGGTGGATCTCAGCGCCGCCCGGGATCATTTTCGACCTTCGGGGCTCATCCGATACAGTGGCTTATTTTGACACAGCGAAGGGAAGAACTCGATACAATATTGTACCACCGAGAACTCGGTCTGATGTCAGCAGCCGAACTGCACCCATGGTCAGTGAGTCAAATTGTAATGTATGGGTGTGTGCGCTACGGAGAGACCATTGTGTTGAGAAAGAGGTCATAAGCGTCCAGGGCACCGCGCATGTCCGGACTTTCGTAAGGTTTTACCATTCAAATCATCAGCAGCGGACTCGACACTTCATCGCTTCGCCATGGAACATAGATCACTCGGCTCAAGCCTACTCGTGGTAATTGCGCTGTTCGTACTACAAACTCATCAGACAACTTCTCTAGCTGTTTCACGCCCACCAAACCTGGTGAATCAATCATCGTTGACACCTTATCTTCTACCGCACAGTGACCCTAACCCTTTAATGAGGTCATCGGGTATTGCAACAAAGAGAGCTGGCTACTTATACGGTCCTCCTGTCGCGGGCGGCCCTTTTTTCCCTACCGGTGTCTTGGCCGCAGCGAAGATGGCCTTAGACCAGGCGGCGTTCCTAGTTAACGAGGTGCCTATCTTTTCTTCTATAATTATCGACTTAGTCGACTCTATTCTCTCGGAGGCGCAAGATGATGGCTTGCAGACCCTGGATGACTATAGCCAACTTTACGATGTCTACTGGAAGGGCACGCTACTTGAGCCTCTCAGCCCAACCCCCGGTAGATTGACCAACTACACGCAGGACTTACTATTCTCCATGGAACGTCTCTCACTTAGTCCATATCAAGTGAAGAGACTCGATCCCTCTTTAGATACGTTGCAGTTCAGTGTCGAGGACAGTTTGGCAATCAATATCACCGGGATGACGCTTCCGCAGCTACTTCAGGACGGTCGACTTTTCTATGCCGATTATCGGGGCCAGATGGATCTTGTCCCTACTGATCGATACTCCGCGGCCTGTGACGCTTTCTTTTATATCGACCAGACTTCGACAGATTTCCTGCCTTTGGCGATTCGCACTAATCAGGGATCGAGTCTTATTTATACACCTCGGGACGAACCAAACGACTGGCTCCTCGCGAAAATCATGTACAACGTCAATGATTTTTGGTTTGCACAATGGAATCATCTCGCTGGTACTCATGAGGTCGTCCAGATTGTGTACCTGGCGGCGATCAGAACTTTGAGCGACGATCACCCAATCCTTGCACTCCTAGATCGTCTCACCTATGAGATCTACGCTATCCAGCCGCTGGCCGAGATCCTACTCTTTCTTCCTGGCGCAGCTGTCGATCAGCTCTTTCCGTACACCGGGTTATCGGCGCAGAACTATACTACTTATCTCTATCAGAATGGCAGTGGTCGCTTTCGGACTAATTACTTCGAGCGCAACCTTGAGTTTCGTGGTTTGATTAATTGTCCATTCGGCCCCGCGCTGAAGAGTTTCCCCTTCTTCGAGGACGCTTCCGTTATTTACAGCGCTTTGAAGATGTTTATGACCTCCTTTATAAACTCCTACTACGATAACGACACAGAAGTGATAGCCGACGAGGAAATCCAGGGGTGGGTGCGAGAGTCGCGCGGTCCTGCCGAAGTGATTGACTTCCCACAAGTCACGACTAGAAGTGGCCTTGTTGATATCCTGACGCAAATTGTGAGTGTTAAGCAGGAATTGCCGTGACGGAGAAGTCCACTAACAAAACTCTCGGTAGGCCCATCTCGTCTCCACGGCGCACCACACCGTGAATACGAACGAACTTCTCTCGGCCAGTTCCACGCTACCATTCCATCCCCCCTCGCTCTATCAGCCACCACCGTCTTCCAAAGGTAATACATATAATTTGGTAGACTTTCTTCCACCACCCGCGAAGATCCAAGAGCAATTGAGCTTCGCAGCTCGTTTTGCGCGTCCTTTCTTTGTGGGTACGAACCGCACGTTAACGCATACTGTCAGAGAGCCTTGGGGTGGGATCGTTAGACGAAGAGTCAGAGGGTTGAACACGTGTCTTGATTCTTGATTGCATAAAGCTGTCCTTGAGACATCGACTTCTCGCACTGTTGAGGGCCTCTCCAGCAGTGCGAGAATAGAGGTCCTATTTATCTCTTTCTGTGTATACCTTGTGGGGGCCGCCTTGGCACTTGGGGTCCATTCGCCTGGTGGGGGCCACTCGCCCCATGGGGTGTTGTCGGCCGGGAAGCCCGGGTGACACTTCTGCTGTCCACCACGGCCCCTTGAGGCCACATTCTTTCGGCGACGGCGGAGGATACACCTCTTGAGAGAACTATCTGAAGGTTAGGGTCAAAGATCATCCACTGATATATAGTGTGTAGCATCTGCACTACGGTATCTTTGTCCACAGCCTCATCTCTGTAGCAAGATATTTTGTGTATGATATTCTCGAACGTTATTCTGACCTCCTTGGACCGGGCTCGTCTTCTGTGCTGTGGAACAGCGCGGTCGTCGTGCTGGGATAAATCTATGGTAGCCTTACTGAATCTTTTTCCCGTGGTCTTTTCTGTGTCTCCCTTTTCGCTGGATGTACTGCCTGATCTGGGCCTCCGCGAGTTGCTAGTGGAGCTGTGCCTCTACATCATTTTTGCGGAGAGTTCAGTTTGGTACGTTCAGAGCCTTCACCTCTTCTGTCACTGTATCTACTCCTGCGCTCTCTACAGAAGTACGTGATCCCTGCGACCAACTCTTAGGGCCTTCCTACAAACGGAAAAGCGTTGACAAAACGGACCTGGAGGACTCGACTTCGTGTCTGTCACGGAATGGGTGTGTAACTGAAGGAGCCACGGGGTTCTCTCGTTCACTTGCAAGCGCGTTTTGCTCTTGTGTGTCTGCACAGTCGTGTATATCCTGCGACCTGTGGTTGCTCAGTTCACCGTACGACTCTCTGAACTGAATCCACTCGGAGGTCCTTTCTGACGCTCTGCTGAGCACGGCGCTCAAAGACCTGTCTAAGTACACTAAGTGTTCTCTTCTGCAGATCTTTCTCTGAAGATAGTAGTGGTAGTACACGCAAGCCATCGCGCAGTATGCTGGAGGCGGACGGGAGAAGTACGGCATTTCCGCCAGAAATGTGTTCCACTCTGTTTCACCCTCGAGGTAAGAGGGCCTGAACTAGTACCTCATTCTGTCCATAGCCTCCGGAATGTAGTCACACTTGCTCCACCCTAGTACCCCTACAAGTCTCCCTTCGCTTATGACGATGTGCTCTAGTGCAAGGTCCTGGTGGCACAGCACAGGTGTATAACGGACGGGTCTGATACTACCGTGGCCATGTCGTCTCGGCACATGTGGTTGAGAAGCTTCAAAAGCGTTATGCGGTAGTTGATGTACTCTACAGGATCTCCTGTGGCTAGGTTCCTCCCCCCAAGGTCCATAAACCTGTCAGAAGTATGTGTGGATATCCCTCTCACAGCCTCAAGCATGTCCGCCAGCACCACATTGTGTTCTACGTGGTTCATGGACCTACACACACCGCCGAGTACTACACCTGGTATGAACTGCCTGACTAGCATCCCCACATACGTCTCTCCCACGCGGTGCAGTTCTCCGCTGTACAGCAGCGGCATAGAAGGTAGATTGGCACAGAGGCCCATTCCGATGTATCCCTCGGAGTATGCCATTCTCTTATACTTTGACTACGACACGCTCGCAACGAGTTCGTCCTCAACTGTTGTGACTTTTAGAACTATATAGGCGTTCGAGCCGTGGAGCTGCTCATATTTTTGCGCATTTTCCAGCTTCAAATTTAACACAGCATCTTCGCCTACGTTTATGAATACGCCACCCTTATCCGCGCTTATATTAGACATCAGGTTCCCACGGTGTAGACTAACGGGTAGTTATGCACTATTTTGCTCACACAGTCTAGCACTATAGTGCCGTACGGAAGCGTTATTTCTAGAAAGGTAGTCTTTGTTGTGCAGGCATGCAGCAGCCGCAGGCGCTGGCACTGGGGACACAAAAGAACCACGATCTCGTCACCTCTTGTTGTCACCCGGGTTCCCCGGCCGACAACACCCCATGGGGCCAACGGCCCCCAAGTGCCAAGGCGGCCCCCACGAGGCATACACAGGAAAAGGTATAAATAGGACCTCTGTTCTCGCACTGCTGGAGAAGCCCTTAACAGTGCGAGAAGTCGATGTCTCAAGGACAGCTTTATACAAGAATCAAGATACGTGTTCAACCCTCTGACTCTTCGTCTAACGATCCCACCCCAAAGCTCTCTGACACTATGTCTTGGGGGACGGACACATACTTAGTTCAAGTAGTGGCGAGGAGGGGGGTGATACTATCCTGGTGCTAGCCCACCGTGAACCGGCGTACAACGCTCTCCTGGACGCGGTCTGTGACATAGGCGTGGACCTGGTCGTGAAGAGGAGCTGGACGGACGGCATGTGTTCAGATGGAGGCGGAAAGACACATCCTTCGTGCGTCTGCACGTCCTCGATTGAGCTGTGCGACGGCTTCATAATATAATATACGGCAGCACAGACAAGTACAATACAAACTACAAAGTGAGTGCCGAGTAGGCAGCTGCTACTCGGCAGCTGAGGTAGTAGCAGTCAGGACTGCCATGATGACACTGAGTGTGGTCCTACGTCCAAGGTCGTTGTATGGTGCCAAGATCCGTCTACCAAGAGCATCACATACCGCGTTCACCATGTCTATGTGTTGTAGCGGGTGTGGAATGTGCGAAACGCCCGAGGTGGCTGCTGCACTGAACGCTACAGAGCAGTGTAAGTACAAGGGGAGTGTGGACGCTTACGCTGCAACGCACACTACATTGAGGTCTCTTAATCTTCCTACACTGGCGTCCGACGGTATGATAGCGTTCGATCCCAAAGTTGAGAGAGCGTGTAAGGCGCAGGTGGACGGTATTGTTACTACGGTCATTTCAGTGGTAGGCTCCATGCCAGAGTCCACGCTCTTTGTACACACGTCGTCTTCTCCAGATGTCCAGACGGAGAAGATCATGTCTGCGACTATGTCAGTGTACCCGTCGAGAATATGCATATCAGTCTCGTCTCTGCTCAACACGGCGCCGAGAGCAAACCCGTGGCCCGTTTTCTCTCTTGCTCCTCCGACGCGACTTTCTGTCTGACTGACTGAATACGAGATGATGCTGATGTTAATGCCCATCCTCTCTTCCCACGGAAGCATAGCATGGTACGGTCCTGCTTTCTCACAAGTGCCTGACTGCAAGCACCTCTTGACCGTGGATTTCGTATCAGAAGACAGGCAACTCATATGGGGGACAGGGAACCCTCACTCACTGCGCTCTACACCTTTTGAGGTCATCCTCTTCTTTTATACAGGACATAAGAGGCCCACGCTTGTGCTGTCCGGTCTGAGTTTGTCTAACGGAGTAGGTCACGTCGACCGGGGGGTCGAAATAAAGGCACTATGTCGAACTATCACCTCCAGAATCCACAGCTCTGGCTCCTCCACTGGAAGATGCTTCTGTTGTCAGTACATATTGAACCTGCACCACTCTCAGCGTGCCTTGCCCCTGAGGCTTACGGAGACTGAGTTCACACTCAAGCTGGAGCCCACGTTTGCTAGACAGAGGTATGGATGTCCCACCTGAGGTTAGAGAGAGGGATAGTAGCGAAATCCGACGTAGCGTGCACAGAGTATGTGTCAAGCGCAGGTCTGACGGACTACCCAGCACGGCACTACTCCGTTCCTGTAGCTGCATATATAATGCCTGTTCCACTGTTTCTGCCGCTGCGTACAATATTAGCCGGGGAGAGGCCGTACCACACAGACATACACCCCACAGTATCTTCTGCTATGTCTTACAGGCTGGAAGCTGCAGGGAAACTCCGTCAACATCGGGGCTAGCTAGAGACATATGTAGCACTACTCAAGTCTCATACGCAGAAGCCGAGAGTTGGGCTAGGGACAGCTGGGCATGCGTCTCCTCTGGTACCATATCGGTGAACTGCACAGTGACAAGGTAGTTCTCTTCTCACGACTCGCTATCAGATGTAGTCCCCTTCCAAAGGCGGCTTAGAGCTGTGATACTATTCAGTCTTCAGTTGGGAGGACAGAAGATCGTGGTGGTTCCCATGGGCTCGCCTGCTACCAGCGTCGTGGGCTCAGTGCTGAGGAACATAGGCGTCCACAGGTCGAAGGTACAGAAGCTTCGGTATCCCAACCCGGCAGTGTCGTCTCGTATGTGTAGCGACGGAGCGTCGCGCCCATTCACCTTCAACCGCCCTGCTATATCCAGAGCCATCGCCGAAGCAATAGTCAGGTCTAGGTCCTTTACTAGGCTAGAACCGTTGGACTACGCGCGCAAAATGTCCACGGAGAAGGACTACGACGACCGAACCAACGCAGTGGTGGAGTCTGCAAACAGACTGGCCCGAAGCCGTGGAGAGTGCGTTCGAGGACCTCAAGACGAGCGACAAGGCCCCGACGGTGAGAGAATGCACGGAGCTGTTTGCAAGGCTCTCACAATGTACAGGAACACCGTCATACGAGATGCTGTGTCCTACATGATATATTCGAAGAAGAGCCAGACAAACCCTAAGATAGGCAAGCCAACGGAGTGGGGAAGCAAAAAGCCTTGAGAGAAGCCACCTCCCTCCAGGGGGCAGCTAGACTCGCATGACCTCTGTCCCTGAGCAGACGGAGGGTGTAGCACAGAAGTGTGAGGACGACGAAGAGGTGCCGTCTCAACCCGCTGAACCCTCTGGAGAGAATAGTGAGACACAGGGACCTCAAAGAGGGTGGTGAAGAGTGTGGTACGGAAGAAAAGGCAGACGGCCGGAGCTATCGAGGCTGACACAAAAGCTGGCTCAAAGTTCACTCCACAGGGCATCTCGGACCTCCGTAGTAGAGCCTGGTCCTCTCTAGGCACGTTTCGTTGACTACGCCGTCTGCACTCAGGCGGCCTGCAGTGCTCTTCCCCGAGTCCATGGACAGACCTGACAAGAGGATGCATATGTCCCTGTGACGGATTGCCGAGTTTCTCTCTACCTATTCCGCAGGCCTGTATGCATCGCGCGCCACGGCGACAGATTTGCACATGAGGTTTCGTATGTCCGCAAGTATTGCTGAACGGGTCTCGCCTCCTACAAACGACGACACTCTTCTGGACGACTCCGCCGTGACTTCACTGCTGTTGGAAGCTACGCTCTCCTGTATTTCTTGTATACGTTTGCGGAGTTCGACATTGTCCTCCATAACTCTTGAGCGTAGTCAGGTGCCGGTACAGTCTGGCAACTCAGTTGCCTCAGAGGCACCAACACGGGAGTTCGTGAGCACGGCGCCATGGAAGAGCTCGTGAAGCGCACAAAGGAACTTGACTTCAGCGGTGAAAAGGTTGTGTTGTCCCATCAGATACTGGAAAGCGTCGCGAAACACTTGTCTGTGGGGAAGCGATGTCAAAGTATGTTTATGCTGGGCAAGATTGAGCTAGGAAGAAACGGGAGGCTGGGGCTCGCGGTCGAGATGGAGGACGTGGTTACAGTAAGGAGAAGACTGGAGGACGTCAGACTGTACCTGAGACGTCCCACAACTGACCCAGACCTCTTGCTATACCAGATGAGAAAATATGGGGCGATCCTATCCGGGTCTCGAGCAGCGGATTACTTTGCACCCGGGGCCTCCTCAGAGAGCTCGGACTGGGACTTCTATACCGATACTTGGAACGTGCGTATATCAGAGTTTGTAAGGGACACTGCCGTATATGGGATAGAATGGAGCAATGATTTAGGACACAATTATATCGGCACACTCGTCTCACCTCCACCAGAGACTGATAGACAGCTTAACCTTACTGGAGTGAGGCACAGAGATTCTCGCATGATGCTACAGGGTCTGACTGTAGTGCACACCAAGCTGTAACCTCGTCTGCCAGAACGCCCGAAACCGTTGTGCGACCCTCAAGTCTGTGTCCTCCCGGAGGTACTCTGGTAGGCCTACCACAGGTAACAGGAAGCAAACGAGCTACACCGTGCGCCGTCGCGTGTCTGTGAGCTTCTGCACCCCTGGTGCGTGGGAACGAACTGCTGTCCCTGCCGTCCGCTAACATGGAGACTAGGTTCTGGCACAGTACGCTGGAGCTGACTTTCAACGCGTCCACGAACTGCCACATGGAGGCCACGTCGTCGTCTGACACGTTGTAGAAGTTGGACTCTCTGAACATGTATCCCCTAGTGGACAACGTCATGTATACTATGTGCAGAAAGGTGGGCTTTGCAAACCGAGTGGACTTCCCGTTGAAACGTTTCTGTACGGCTGCCTTCACCTCTTTGTTTATCCGAGCCCAACCTCATCGAGAGGATCCCAAGCCGGACCAGGACGGCTTCCTCGACTCGTGCTACACCCCGTCCTCCAAGTCCAGCGGGAAGGTGCGGACGTTCGCCGTCGGGGTGTCGATGAGGATCAAGACCAGGCGCACCATCGAGGTCGCGTCGAGCATCCTCGCCGTGCTCAAGAGGCCCAACGGCATCGCGCCCAAGAACTGGCTCGGACCCGTACGACTACGGCATCAAGTACGAGGGCCCGATGGTGGACACAGTCTCGGTCCACAAGTCCGACACGATGGCGTTCGCCAACATGCGCTTCCCCAAGCGCGAGTCCGAGCCCGAGCAGTTCTTCGGCTCCATCGTCCAGTGCATCCCCTTCGCCGCATGGACGGCCGAACCCAGGCTCGGGTTGGGGTGGCAGATGGCGAGGCAGGCCATGTCCCTGACGCCGGTCAAGGGCGACGCGACGGTCGTGACCACGGGCGAGAGCAGCCCCCTCGTCATGACCCCGTTCATGTGCGCGCTCTGGAAGATGTCCACGGAGTCGGCCCCGATCGTGTTCCTGGGCAAGCACATCGTAACCGCGTTCATGAAATGGACGCTGAATAGAGAGGACGCCTGCGTCGTGTCCAAGGAGCTGGCCGAGTCGGGATGTTCTCCTGGTCCGGGCTGATCCACTACCCTCTGCCCAAGAACGTAGGATACGTCAGGGTCGGCATAGTCGTCAAGGACCAGTACTGGTGGGCGCCCGCTATCGAGGGCACAGTGCTGGAGGTAGAGATAAGCAGGTCGGGGGATCCCATCGCGGTGGTGTACGTGGCCTCGAAGGTGCTCAGGATCGGCGACAGGCTCAGGACCGTAGACGGGCTGAAGTTCACCGTCGGGGAGTTGCTCCCGTACGACGTCACGGTCACGTCGAGATACCTAGCCTCATCGACGAGAAGACTGGCAAGGAGTTCAAGCCGAACATACTCATCAGCACGAAGAAACTCGCGAGGGGGCTCGGGGGGCAGCTCCGGGTGATAGCCGCGGTGACGAACATGTTCGAGTTCATAGAGGCGTTCAGGACTAAGGAGATGCACAGACCTAGGAAGGCGACGTGATGTCGTTCGAGGACCAGAAGATAGTCAACCCCAACCTCCCGAAGGGGGACATGATCGTGCGCGGGAAGAGGTTAACGTTCACGGACACCAACAAGAAGGCGAGGACGGTCAGGGCCACGTACGAGATCATGCGCGTGTTACAGCTTAGGCACATCGCCGCTCTCAAGCACCACTACCCGTCCATGGTGTTCGGGTCGATCACCATCCCGAAGGGGGAGTTAGTCGCCATCGTGATGCAGAACTGCACGTCGGTCGTGATGGATGCTATCATCACGGACAACTACGTGGTGTTCATCAGCTGCCCGGTCTGCAATAGGACCGTGATCGGCTACGGCTGTCCGTACCCGAAGCCGCCCTCGACGGAGAAGATAGTCAGGTACTCGATGCTGATTTTGGCCGTGTTCGCAGAGGTGTACATATACAACACCTCGGACTCGGTCCCGCTCGGGATCAAGTTCATCACGCAGACATGACGACTACCCTATGCATGATGTCGTACGTGTTCGAGTCCACGGTCTTCCACAGCTCCGGTATGGTATCCTTGACCAAAACAAGGCCCGGCACCCCCGACCTACTTAGGAACGGCTTTACGTACGTGGACTTGCCGAACGTCGAGATGATGTCCGAGCGCGAGATCCTCCCCGTCCCCGCGGGCCTTATGGTGACGCGTCCACGTCCGACGCCTGATCGCGGCATGGGGTCGTACACGAACCCGCACCCGAACGTGGGGACCCCCTCGGTCCTGAGCATGTTGATCACCTTGATGTGGTACGAGATGCTGAACGAGAACACGGCCGGGATGCTCATCATGGCTATGGTCCTCGTGGGCATGGTTCGTCCGATGAATAGCTCGGACTTGCACTTCGCCCAGAGCACGGTCGTGGCCCTCTTAGAGATCGAGATCACTTGGTCGTCGAACTTCCTCCGGAAGTCGTAGGGCGCGATCGTGGCCCTCTTCATGCATGCGCCTGGATAGGTCCTCGACGTTGACCTCGGGGTCGAACGCGCACAGCTTGTCGTCATGTAGAGCAAGTCGACCGTGGGCTCCTTCAGCGTTAGGGTCCTGTAGCTGCTCACCAACACCACTCCGTCGCTGGGCGTAGGCTCGGGCTCGAGCTCCAGCGTGGTCGGCATTCTGTCCTAGACCCTCCTGTAGATCATGTACAGCCTCCTGACGTCCATGGACAGCTTCGCGCTGCCGTTCATGCCTAAGGTGTCGATGTACACTATGGAGCCGTCCATGATCATCTCCGCCACCACGACGTCGGGCCTTTTGGTCAACTCGAACATGACCGCGCGGTCGATCGTGACCATGGACGACAATACCGTTATCTCCGGGTCGGTGGAGCACACCATATACCCGAATATATAGCAGAGGATGTACACCTTCACGCCGTCGGCCTTGGCCATGGACTGGCCCTTGTACACGTTCATGTTCGGGACGTCCATCACGACGTGGTCGGCGGCCCTGATATCGCTCTTGTACTCGGGATCGACCATACCCCTCATCGAGGAGATGGTGCCGACGATGCCCATGCATATGCACACGATAGCCTTCACGACGCTGTTGGTGGCCCTACCCCCGATCTCGAACTCGGCCGCGTACGACTCCTCGATGTCGTTGGTGTACTTCCTCGCGATGATGTGCGTCTTCATGTCCCTGACCGTCATGGTGAACCTGATCTCGACCATGTCCACATCGTACATCACGCTCTTGATCGCGCCGTCAAGCCGTACTCATCCGAGACCGCCAGGACGTACCCGGGCGCTATTCTCGTCCTACTCCTTGTCACCTTCACCACCGCCTCGTTATTCGAGCGCTTCCTCACCTTTACGTTGGCGTTCATCCTCGAGCCCGTCCACCAGGTGCACCCCACCTCCTTGATCTCGCGCGTGGTGGGCGTCCGGGAACAGCCCGCTCTCCATCTTCTCGAATATGATCTTGGCCAGGGGTATGTCTATTCTCACCTCCACCTTCCTGATCGGCCTCTGCGACACGGCGTAGATCGTGACTATATTCACGCTCGGGTGCGGGAGCGACTCCATGGTCATGTTGTCCGACGCGCTCGTGATGGCGGCCGTGCTCACCACCTTCCTGCTGACCGACTCGGGGTCTTGAACGGGTTTTTGCGCTTGCACAGCACCGGCTCCGGGGGCTCGTCCAGGCCCAGCCTCACGTCCTCGTACCTGGCCGTGGCCGGGTTCTTGTCCTCGCCGCAGATCGGGCAGATGTGCGGCTTGCTGTCCATGTTCAGGCAGCTGTGTAGCTCCACGGTCGTTCGGCACGATCAGCCTGGGGCTGCAGGCGTAGATCCGCACGCACATGATCATGTCCAGCAACGGCGCCATCAACATCGCCACCAACACCCGCACAGGCAGCGCGAGGGTCGTGTTCTCGACCAAGGACCTGGACAACGGCGCCCAGTGGCACGCGTCCATGATCGACAAGATGATGATGCACAGGGACTGGCCCAAGGTGTACGACATGTGGAAGCCGTGGAACTCATCCAGTGGCGGGATCGAGGTGACGGGCACGCAGCAGGTCAGGCGGGTGATCGTGATGATGACCGCGAACGGGTTTACGGGGGCCTTCGAGCCTCTCGCCTCCGCGCAGATCGTCGTGTACAGGGCCGCGCAGATCGTCGTGTACAGGGCCAAGAACCCGGACGTGGTCCCGACCGGAGGTTAGGGACATCAGCTAGACGCTGTCGATGATCGTCCCCACGTCCGTAACCACGAGCATCTCCTTGGTCACCGTCATGTTCATGATCTTTTTCTTGATCAGGCTCATATTCACGCTCATCGTCGGCTACACGTGTATGACCCTCTCCATGAGCTCGTGCCTGTCGGTGTTCTGGACGTAGAGGAGCTTCCTGTCGATGGTCGAGGACATGACCTCGTCCGTCGGGGCGTTGAAGTTGGGGGGCGTGAGCCACGTCTTGTTCTCGGAGATGTTCGCGCAGTTGAGCACGACGTAGCTCACGAACAGGCCCTCGAGCGTATTGCTGACGATGTTCTCGTACTCGCTCATGTCCACCTCCACGCTCGGGCCGTCGACCACGCCGTTGCCGGGGCAGTAGATATAGCACTCGTACGGGTACTTGGTCGCCATCTTCATCTTCGCCCAGTAGGGGCAGACGACCGTGTTCCACTTGAAGTTGTTGTGCTCGTGCTTGGCCATGCCGCCGTTCTCGTTCAGGTTCGTGTCCAGGCAGCCGAGGTTCCGCCCGGTCCTCTCCATGTCCGTGTTGTCGAACACCAAGTAGAGCCTGCGCCGACGCATGTCCCTGGTCATGGACCTGTCCCTGTCAATGCCTATCAGCTGCGTCTCGATCGTGCTGATGATGCTGCCCATGACCACGACATTATAGCCCTTCTCGATGATGCGCTCGAACTTGGCGACGTCCTCGTCCTCGAACACGCGCTTGAGGCAGTCCATGGTCGTGTGCCTAGTCACGGCCGTGCTCCACTTATGATCCCGATCGGAATCATGAACATCTTCACGCACATGATGGTGACCATGTCCATGGGGGAGACACGGGGTTGACTAGATACACAGCCACGACCACGCTAGTGTTCACGGCCGTGAAGCTCAGCAGGTTCAACGACGCCTTGATGAACATGGACAGGCACAGAATCTGGAGCAGGTGCACGCTGTACGGAGACATATAACAGGAGAGTTCCAGCGGGGATGAAAGGAGTGATTGACTGCTTGTTGGTGCTGCTCTAACTCTCAGTCCACTCAGAACGTTGTGGCGCAGAAATCAAGGAATTAGGATGATCCCAGGTTGTTATCAGGTTTATTTCACCGAAGGTCTGTCAGATATGGGAAGAAATGTCCTTTTTGGCGGGGATAGCAAATCTTGATCTGCTGGGAGTGCCAGTCAGTTGCCTTCCCTAGAACCAAAAAAAGCATTGGTCAAAATGACAAAAACTTATCACAAAGCAGGCAACCCATAACCTGGTTTGTGATAAGTGAAACTCGCCCTTACGGGTTGGTTTTTCTCGGCCGGCCGGTTATACTACAAATTCGCTACTTTATAAGGTTGATGTCGGTGGGATTCGAACCTCAGATCCTGCTGCCGACTAACCCCGGTGGTTGTCTTGACCTGACAGGACCGGGAGTCGATAATTCGCCCTCGTCGTATTAAGGGGATCTTGGTGTGGGAGAAATTCGGAGAGATAAAAATATATGTCTATAATTTAGTCGCCGGACTGACTGGGCAGGTCAGCCGAGTGTATGTACAGAAATGACTCTATCCTACTTTCCAGCGAGGGGAGCACAGCACCAACCGTCATCCATCACCTGTCCTTTCCTCGATCTTTCCATCTGCTTGCGGCTATTAATCGCAGCATAACATAACCTCTCACCGCGAGCAATGCTAAAATATCCCACCGTGGTCTTATCGTCAGTGGTTCTCGATGACGTCGGCGTACAGGTCCAGCATCCCCAGCCGGAACCCGTGCAAGACCGAGTGGCCTGATGACGTTCTTCTCCATCCGTGCTATGCTGATGATGAAGCTGCGGGCGATGGTGTTGATGGTGATGAGCACCTTCACGATCGCGACGAGGAGGCGACGGCCACCGGGAGTACGACCATCATCACGCCCCCGATCGAGGTCATGAGCAGCAACGTGAACACGGACGAGGTGGTGGACAGCCCCATGGATACGGGCAGCGTCGGGTACCTCTTCTGCCTCTGTTTCTCTGCGGGAGGATGCCGATGATAACGTACAAGTTCCCCTGCCCGTTCCCGTTCCTGAACACGAACCCGAACGTGGACGTGAGCGGGTCGACGCTCGTTATGACGACCTGCAGGACCTGCAACAGGGAGTACATCGGGCAGATCACGAAGATGATCCCCTGCAACCGCGCGTCCATGTTCAGGTCGTTGTGCATGTCCTCGAACATCGTCATGGGCATGAACGAGTACTGCATCGCGTCGAGCTCGGGGCTTGGGATAATGAGCATCTTAACCCACAGCAACTACGTCGCGTACATGCCTCTGAGCAGCATCACGGATGTCCACGCGTCGCGCCTATACGTGACTAGCCAAGCTTGGGAAGGTCTGCCGAGGGCTACTTCTACCTCGCCATCCCACTTCTTTCTCTTGAGACTTGAAGACTCTGTCAGGGACAGCCAACCACAGTTATCTAGATAGCTAGAAAATCGTGCTATTATAGACATTATCTCCACCAGTGCGGTGGATCCCTTGCTTCCTTCTTCTTCCTCCATGTGATAACGGACAGGACCACGAATGAGTGCACCATCGTGGACATGGACGTCAACATCCAGTCGCTCACGAACAAGGACAGGATCATCAAGCCTTACGCGCCCGGCGGGTTCTTCTAGCTCAGGCTGTGCCTGCTGGGCAAGAGCGGGTTGGTGTGCATGGACTTCGACGTGGAGAACCGCACGTCCTTGCACAACTCGGCGACCAGGAACAACCTCCGCAACACGAGCGAGGATATGACCAGGCGCGTGATGACGGTCGTGGCCCCGGGCATGTGCCCCGAGTGCTACATGGTCACCGTCATGCTCGTCAACTCGAAGGCGTACGCGGACAGGGTCATGGTCACGAACGAGGTTGGACCGGGCTCATGGCCAGATAGATGATCGTGACCACCCCCAGGTGCCAGTCCATGCGGCTGAACACGAAGCGCCCTACGCACACGTTCGAAAACCACTACATGACCGTGAATATGATCGTGCGTAGCGTCGAGGACGACAGGTCGTTCCTGATCAGGAGGGTGGTCATCTCCGGCTCCACCATCACGCGGGCGCCCATGGTCGTGGCATGCGAGTGGATCGAGGTCAAGCTCGAGAACGTCTTCACCCTCGCCTGCAGATCGGAGGACCTGACAACGGTCACCGGCTGCACCATGTACAAGGCTGCAAGGGCCACCACATGATGGACCAGAACAGGACGGCGTACATGATCCCATTCGGGTTCGCGACCGGGAACGAGCAGAGGTACAGCGACGCCGCCATGGTCAACTCCGAGGTCTGCAGCGGGGACAAGAGCGCCGATGACGTGGCGAACTACTGCCTGGACAGGATCAAGGGCAGGCGCGGCATCCTGAGGAAGCAGTGCAACTCGACCAGGCCGCCAAACACGATGAGATTTGTGGAGTCGCCCTTGAGGCCGAGCCCGGGCCTGTCCCAGGCCGAGCAGCTAGGGTACATCTAACTCCCGAACGAGGCCTTCGACAAGGGCGTGTTCCTGTTCATGTCCGAGGACGGCAAGTTCAGCACGGTCAAGTTGCGGGAGGAGGACTTGGTGATGTACGGGTGGGAATATGTACGACACCTTGACGCTGAAGCCGCGGAACTGGAGGGTGATGGGCATGACCACGTCAGCGGCACGTACTGGCGCTGAAGGGTGGAGAGGTCCTTGGACGGGATAGTCAACTCGACCATGGGCAAGCACGGTATCGGCAAGCCGTACACGCAGATGCGGAACGCCATGATGATGGGCACCCTCGTGATCAAGGACTGGAAGTCCATCAGGGTGAGAGCAAGGACCCGCAGCCGATCCCGCCATCATCGCGCCGGTGGGCATGAACTACGGCAGCTGCTCGTCGGCCCTCACGAAGATGACCGCGAGCCTCTACCAGAGGGAGATCGACAGCGCGAAGTACGGCAGGGACTCGTCGAGGGTGACGGCCGTGGAGACGCTGATGAAGAGGACGGACAAGTGCTTCGCGGTCGTTTCGAGCGGCACGGGCGTGGAGATCAAGATGATCCCGGTCATGGAGGCGATGGCCAACGGCTTACCCGACACGAAGATGAGGTACGTGACCTCCGCCGTCAGCCCTGTAGATCTGCTCGAGCGCGCGGTCTTGGTGGTGTCCGCGGTCGAGGAGTTGGACAACATCACGTTCACCGATGAGGAGAGGTTGGCCGTCGCCGTAGTCTTCGCCTTCTCCAGCAGGAAGACGGTCGAGGTGATATCCGACGACATGTTCGGGGTGATCCGGGCGCTCCAGGTCGACTGGTCCACGGACATCAGCTCGTTGCTGGGGGCCATCGCCATTGGCAACATGTGCAAGTTCGCTCCTTTCGCATCATCAAGACCAGGAGCCCGAGCGTGCCAAGAACGGGACGAGGCGCTGATCTCGTACTAGACCAGGTTAATGTGGATGAACAGGACAGAAACGCGGTCATGAGCCTAACGCGACGCTGACAATGCGCAGACCACGGAGATGAACACGACCATGGAGCCCGACGCGACGACGTACAGGTACGAGGCCAGGTTCACGCACGTCATTATGAACGTGAGCACCGCCAGGGAGGCGATCCTGTACGAGTTGGGGGCCACGTACGCATCCCTGATCCTGTCCATGATCGACCTCAAGAGCAGGAACCTGAAGACGAACATGCACCTGGCCCCGTACAGGGACCTGTTCAGGCACAGGGCGTGGCTCGAGAAGATGCACAGGGAGGGGTACTCTGTCCTGATCATCGGCGAGGCCGTCAACACGCTCATGGAGGGGATCCGCGACCCGGAGAGGTTCTGGAAGACGCACGGGACATTCAGGATGACCGGCGGCAACAACTCGCTCATGGTGTGCATCTGGCGCTCCAACAGAATGCCCTACAGCAACAGCGACCTGTCCGGCTGCACGTTCGACCACACGACCGCCGAGACGACGACGGAGACGAACATCGTCAGAGACGACTGCACGCACGACAAGACCCTCGTGCCCTGGCTATGGGCGGGAGGTTCAACACGTACATGTTCCCGCCGTGGGACGAGACGTGGTTTGAAAACGCAACGCCGGGATCGACTTCATGGACGACGGGCCCCACCGCAGGCCCAGGTTGTGGTACGATCACATGGACGGGTACGGTGACGAGCTGTCGATCGTGTACTACCGGTTGCACGACAGCGGGGTGACCAGGAGGGTGGTGGAGATGAACGGGACGCTGGTCGTGGGCGCGCTCGACAACACGTACACGTGGATGCTGTCCAAGCTGGAGATGAGCCCGACCATGAAGATGTTCAAGGTCATCTCTGGCAGCGAGGAGGAGATGCTCATGGTCCCGTACATGAACATGTAGATGCCCATGAACACCATGACCGCCGAGAGCGTGCCTGTGGCCAGGTACAACGTCGAGATCATGTTTCCACGGACAGCCACGAGACGGTGATCTCATTGATGTACAGGTACAGGAGCAGGCATATCGCCATGTGCATCATCAGCAAGATATTCGTGTTACGGAAAGGATCCGGACGTCTGCGGGTTCACACCCAGGGGCCCGTCTGGAGCGACATGACCACGATCCTGCTCAGCGCCGTGGTCCTACGGCAACTTGAACGACCATGGCGACAAGACACGTACATGACCACCTACACCTACATGTCCATCAAGAGGTGCAGGGCCACCAGCAGCGTCTGCTTCGTGTGCAAGGAGGGGCTCACGAACATCATCCCGTGCGACAAGAGGACCGAGGAGGCGCCCGGGATAACCCTCTTCGCCCCGACCGAGTGCGTCAACAGGCAGAAGATCGTCGTCTCGTTCCACCCCGACTGCATGGGTGACAACTTGACCATGACCGCCTCGACGACGCACAAGGAGCACTCGGACGACATCAAGAAGGCGGTCCTGAAGATGGCGTTCAAGATGGACTTGACGGTCTACCTGGTCGGCCCCGGGGACGACAATAAGATGACGGAGCTGAGCGTGAACCTGACCACCCACGAGCGCACCAACACCCGAGAACAGCACCGTCGTGTAGATGAACATGCGCATGCAGGTGTTGCCGATCAAAACTGCCAGCTGCACAGGCACCTGGTCACCACCATCAACATGTGCAACATCACGTTCACGGTCTGCACCCTCTGCCTGTACTCGCTCGAGTTGATCGACTCGTGCCCGCGCAACAACACGTGCATATGCGTCACCCAGACGATCTCCGCCCTCGCGACCATACACGGGCCGGCGTACGACCTGATAATTACGGTCGTGCCCATCCTGTGCAACATGTGCATGGAGAGCGAACCGGAGCTGTGCGCGGACACGCCTCTGACCAACGCCATCCAGATGTCGAGGGTGTCGAAGATTGCGAACTTCATGAACAGGAGGAGGTCGTTGAACATCACCGTGAAGACGCTCACGAGCGGGAGGCCGTACATGGGCATGCGCATCGACAGGAACAGCACCGTGGTCTTCTTCGAGAATATGGACTAGACCATGGACGGCATCTCGTGGCTGGATGCGCATGGCGCGGGAGACGTAGATGTACGAGCAGATGTTGATGTTCGTGGTGTTGTACACGATGACGACCAAAACCACGAGTTGTACGTGCACGATTTCATGTGGCTCAAGATGTGCCCACTGCAAGTACGTGATCTGGTACAGGTGCTTCAGCAGCCGCGAGACGGTGCCGATGTGCAGGGGCGGGTCCTCCGGGATGTGCATCACCAGGCACTCGTACAAGTTCTGGTACGGGATCATGCACACGGGCTCCATCAAGATCCTATTCTGCGGCGACTGCGTGATCGAGGCCGAGCTGACGGACACCCACGACCTGGCGGACGTGTGCGACGACGTGCCCAGGGTGATGGGCTTCTACAGGAACCTGGTCAGCATGGGAGATGACGAACCTGGCCTTGAAGAGGACGAGGTACGGGTTCCCGATCCACTACGACACAGAGGACAGACCCCGGAGCATCATCACCTTCGTGCAGACGCGCATCACCCCGTGCGCGTGGAGGGACTCGCTGATCGACGTCGGCATGAAGAAGTCCGTTACATGTGAACATCAGCGACATGATTAACATGTACGAGAACATAACGGCGGTCTAGAACACGATCAAAACGGGATCAGCCTGCCGACCGCGTACCCGTCCAGCAGATGTGCCTGACGCTGATGAGCATGGGGATCACGACCAACACCGGGAGGATGTGGCACCGGTACGAGGTCGAGTTCATAAGCTCGTATACCATCAAGCACATGGTCGAGCACACGAACGAGAACGTCATCGTGTGCATGGTCGTGGTCAAGATCAGGCAGACGTCCTCGGGCGAACTCACATTCACGCTGCTGGAGGCCATCGAGAGTCTCTACTAGTACCCGATGATGACCATGATCGCGACGCGAGGCTGCAAAAGCACACCGACGACACCGTCAACACGAACACGTCAGGATCATCATGGACATCATCGACACGGTCGCGCTCAGGACCAGCCATCCGGACGTGAACGGCGTCTTCGTCAGCGTGGGGGAGGGCGGCACCAACGACGTAATGGAGCCGGCGTACCTCTCGAACCTCGCCATGGGCATCTACACGATCAGGTTCAGCCCCATGAACAGGGAGTCCAACTGGTCGCTCGACAGGGCCGGGCACGGGGAGTCGATCGGGTACAAGGACGTGTTCATCGTAGGCTTGGTCGACGGCTGGGTGACCCTGGGCATCATCGTGACCTACGCCCTGGTCTTGTTGCCGTCCAAGAACATCGTCAACCACATGACGCCCTACGTCCGCATCGGCCTGCCCGTGGTACCTTCTGCAAGATGTACTCGCCCTGGGCATGTGCGGGCTCGTGGGCGAGATTAGGGACGGGAGCCGCTGGCTAAACATGGACACGAACGGCGCGGTGTGTTGAGAGACATGCCCAAGGCCAGGTTCATGTACACGATGAAGTCCGGGGACAACCTGTTGACGAAGGCCGTGGTCAGTGTCAGCGGCATTGTTGAGGTCGCGGACAAGAGCGAGATCTCGTGCCTGGTCTCGTTCAGGGTTAGGGTCAAGTACGCCACCACCAACACGAACCTGGCGATCGTCGACGTCATGGCGTCGTGCATGTTCACGTTGACTGAGCTGTACCTCAACAACACCATTGGCACGTAGACGATGATCAACGCGACCACGGACAAAATCACGTCCACCATCAGGCCCAGCGCGCTGACCACGCACATGATCCTGTGCCTGAAGATGTGCAAGAGGCTGATCAAGACCTGCGTCATGTGCAACGGCATGATCGCGAGCCTGGTCGCGCGCATGGAGTACGACCCGAACAGGTACCCGAACACGCCCATCAACGTGTGGTTGCACAACCACGCCAGGACCAACAGGAACAACGTCAGGAACAGCCTCAAGTTCATGTTCTGCGACACGTGCAAGACCAACACGGGCACGACCCAGCCCCAGTGCGACATCCACTACTAGGACGTCATCCAGTACATGATCCACGCCGCGAGGGTCTCGTACTTGGGCGTGGCCGAGGTGAGGAACAGAATCGGGTCCGGCATTGTCTTCCTAGACGACTGCGGATCATCGACGTGGTCACCAGCATCTCCGCGATCACCGACACGTGCTGAATCCGAAGACGACCGTCCTGCTACTGATCCACATGAACACTAAGATAGAGATACACCTGAACAGGAAGACCTAGACGGTGATCGTTAAGACGATACCTAGGGACCTGTGTGTGACGATAGTCTACTACAAGTGCGAGAAGATGGTAATGGTGATAAACACGAGGTCGGATACGCACAGGAGCCCGACGCTGAAGCCGAGTGTCAGAGAGCCTTGGGGTGGGATCGTTAGACGAAGAGTCAGAGGGTTGAACACGTATCTTGATTTGTATAAAGCTGTCCTTGAGACATCGACTTCTCGTACTGTTGAGGGCTTCTCCAGCAGTGCGAGAATAGAGGTCCTATTTATCTCTTTCTGTGTGTGCCTCGTGGGGGCCGCCTTGGCACTTGGGGGCCGTTGGCCCCATGGGGTGTTGTCGGCCGGGGAGCCCGGGTGACACCGAGCATGACGCGGAGGGTCTTGATAACTTGCAAGATATGCACGAACACGCTGATAGAGACGACCGTCCTAACGGCGTAGGACCTGCAGAGGACGAGGTTCCACTATATGGTGATAGGCAAGTTCGAGAAGGCGGTAGTCTACGGGGGATCGACGCGGTGACTAACAGGCTCAAGTGAATGGACCGGAACAAGCTCGTGCAGATGCTCGTGGACGTGGACACGAACAAGGTGCGGCACGCCGTCCTGGGGGAGGACGGGTCTTTGAACGCGGTGAGCGACGTCAACAGTATCTTCGTGGTGGGCTAAAGCACATGCCGACCAGCAACAACCTCAGGGACATCACCAGCAGCAGGATGACGTCAATTGGCACGAGGAGATAGCTAAACATGAAGATGGCCGTCACTAGGACCGAAAACAGGTGCAAGACTATCGCCACGAACGCCGTCGCAAGCTGAACCGGCACACCAAGACGAACGTGTACGTGATGTCCACCATGAACGAGAACGCGAACACGAACCCATACACGGAGGACGAGACGGGCGAGGACATACATATGGTCCTGGGCTGCTGCAAGTGCGACACGACGGTCGTGGTGTTGCGTAACGACTCGAAGCTGGTGACGGACCCGGACGCCAGGATGTTCAGGGCCCACGTCGTGCTCTGCACGTGCACCGGGTGCGCGAACCTCAACACGACCACGACGCTCCTCCCGGTCACGACGATCTCCGGCAGCGCGCTCGACAATAAGATCAGGAGTATGTTCACGGCCTGGGTGATATACGGGCCCACCAAGGGCGGCGCGTACGCAGTCAACCCCCATCGAGCTAGTTAGGATGCTGGCTACGGATAGCGATGTGATCGCGTACAAGGTCCTGACGGTCGACGGGTTGATGGACGACGAGGGGGTTGTGGCCAGGTTCGTGAGAGGACCACCACCCGGGTCAGGAAGACGCTGATGAGGCTCGTGATCGCCACGCCGACCTTCCCGACCGTGCGGGTGTTGATGATGATCACCCGGTCATGTTTTCGAACGTGATCTAGACCATGCTCGACCTTATGATCCTCATGCTGGACAAGAACGAGCGCGTGTCCGTCTCCAGGACCCTCTTAACGATCCTGTACGCGGCCGAGTACAGAAGCTCGATGTCGTTCGGCGAGCTGCAGAAGTGCATGGACCCGTTGCCGAACAAGCGTAGGGACGTATTCCTGCCGATGCGCATGGCCGGCTGGATGATCATCCTCGTGGAGAAGCCCGCGGACATGGTGGCGGTCACGTTCATGCTCGTCGCCATGTTCCAGGGGTGGATCGCGAGGATGTTGATGGTCTCGGGGTCCATGACCAAGTGGATCACGTTAGCGTTCGGCCTGTGCAGGCTGACCGCGAACAGGGACGAGGAGGCGTTGCAGCTCGAGCACACGGCGTCGAGCCAGCCCTGGTCCCTGGACGCGCGCCAGACCAACCATCCCGCCCACCTGCCCCAGATCTCGTTGCCGGGCTTGACGCTGGTCGTGTGCGTGGTCATGGACATCGGCTCGATGCACTCCAGCTCCGCGGAGTACGTGTCGTGCGCGAAACTGACGTCGATGCTGTTGCCCCTGATGATGGTGCTCGACACCACCGGCTCGATCGTCCACAGGGTCGCCACGATGTCGGGGCACCCCCACCTGACCAACGACATGAACTTACGCTCGTGCCCCTCCACGACCGGATTGAAGTCCATGACCCTTCTGAACGCGCCCACTCTCGTGACCGTGAACGAGTCCAGCAACGGAACCCCTCTCTGACTGAACATGACGGATAGAATCTCCGACGCCGTCAGCGGGCGGCAAATCGTTCATCACGGCGTTCCTCATCATCCTCACGAGCTCGATGGCGTTGGTCCTCATGTCCCTCTCCTGCTGCGCGTGCCCGGTCGAGGTCTTGGGCTTGGTCGAGCTGATCCTCGAGTTGTCGAAGCTCCACGTGGAGTACATTCTGAAGATGCTGCTGCCGTGACCGTGTGCAGGATCATGAGTGCGCCAAGGACCTGTTGCACTTGCACTGGTGAACACCACCATCAAGATGTCCACGAACGTGATCACGAACGTGATCGGCTCCGCCATCATCAGCATCGCCTCGAAGATCAAGGAACGTGCACGCGCACGAGAGGGTGCCGGCCGACTGGACCATGGTCCCGAGGGCGGTCGAGGAGATGAACACGGGTTTCGTGGGCATCCTGACCTCGACGGTGAACCTGAGGCACAACGAGGTGGTGTGCGGCATCATGGCCGACGTCATGTGCCTGATCGAGATCGGTATGAGATACGAGGAGTCACCGAAGGACAGCTTGGACATGGTCTGCCTCAACGTGGTGTCGGGGAGGCACATGGGCATCATCAAGTACCTGTTCGAGGTCACGCAGATGTTTGTGTTCACGAACGAGAACGTGTCTCTGCACATGTGCCTGAGCGAGCAGCTCTACCCGGTCGTCACCACGGTCTTGACGGCGAATAGGCACGTGAACATGCACATGAACGTCGACTGGCTCATCCTCATCACCAGGCTCACGACCGCTAGGACGAAGAGCAACGTGGCGGTCATGATGGGCGTGTCCATGGAGCCGAGCGAGATCTTACAGGTCATGAGCACCATGGACGTGTTGGTGTCCATCCTGGTGTCCATATCCAACCCGGTGACGATGATCAGCATTAGTAACGCGATGAGGGAGAGGAGGATGGTCATGGAGACCGTCCTGGCCTCGGACCCGGACAGGGTCATAGCGAGGGTCAGAAACGCTGTCATAGACACGAAGAGCGGCAAGATCAGGACGCTGTTCAGGCAGGAGCCCGAGTGCACGGCCAGGATGGTGAACGCGATGACGTACATGATCAGACCCATGAACCTGAGGAGGATGTGCTTCGACTGCAGAATGATGCACATGTTCAGCACTATGCTCTTGCGCATACTCAGGAACGTGGACGCGGCCGTGACCGTGGATGTCGGCGTGGACTGGTCCGAGAGCTTCGCTGAGAACATCACCATCGGCCTGGACGAGTACGACAACCCGATCTATACCATCATCATCCTAATCGTCATGTCCCTGAGCAACGACATCATGGCGGCCCTGGAGAGGTTGGCCACCGTGCCGGTGCGCGTGGGCGAGAGGGACTCGATCCTCATCAACGCCGGGAAGCTGGACGACCTCGTGGGGGTGTACGAGGACCTCTATACGGTCACGCACACCATCTGGCGCAACTTGCCGGACCCGCCCGACTGCGAGAGGGTGCATGTCATCGTCTAGATGATCAGCGCCGAGAGCTACGACGTCGACCACTTCTCGGTGCCGTGGCAGGACACGAGCCCCAACACGTACGTGCATCTGTAGTCGGCGATCGACAGGTTCAGGACCATGATCGACACCAACAGCGCGTTCTGGCTCATCAGGCCGAGGGGGCCCGTGGGCTACGCCGAGATCATACACCTGCCCGGGGTGGCGGACACGCACTGGTGCCCTTCCGAGTGCTGGGACAACTTCCACCACGACTTCGCGGTAGTCATCAGGACGTCGTTCTTGTTCGTCCTCGAGAACATCTGCGAGAGTAGTATCGCCTCCTGGCTCTGGACCGCTGGCAGGCCCCCGAACATGATCCTGCTGTATAACTCGGGCACGATGGCGTTGTAGACCTTCATTAGGGCCACCTCGTCGATGATGTGCCCGGTCTCGCCCTTGACCTGGATGTACTTCTTCATGCAGGCCACCATCAGCGACGTGAACGCGGTGTCCCACAGGGTCATCTTGTTGCTCTAGCCCCTGTTCACCGTCGCGGAGTTGGTCTTCAACACCGTCGGCGACGACATCGAAGGCACGGCCGCGTTGGGGTTCCTGTTTATGTCGCCGGACGCCTCCATCTCCCTGATCCTGTTCGACGACTCGCTCTTGGTGCCTACTCACTGTGCTGAACGACTCGGTGTCCTCGTCCCTGGCCGTGTCCGTGTTCGCCCTCCTCAGGCTGAACGCCGGTGACTTGGTGTGCCTCAACGCGTCCGGATCCGGCAACCTCGCAATGTTCCTATGCCTCTCCGCGGGTCCGTCGGCCTTTAGACGCTCGATCTCGAGCTCTATCTATGACATGCGCTTCTCCAACATCTCCCTGGTGATCTTCATCGTTATCACGGCCTCCATCAGCTCTATGACCTTGTTCGACCGCCCGATCCCGACCTCGCCCTCGTTATCGTCCTCGCCCTTGCTCGTCGCGTTGCTGCTGACCCCGAAGTCGATTAGGCGGTCGACCTCCTCAATGTCCGACATGATGTCGCTGTGCGGTGTGAACACGTGTCCCAGATCTTGTTCATTATGATGCACTGCACCAACTCGAACTCGTATGGAGCCCGTCCCTACGATACTAGACCGTCACTTCATCGCAGTGATCGTGGTCTTGACCATACTCGATGTCGATCGCGGACATGGGGGTGACCTCGCCCTCGGCCAGGGCCACGAGCAGCCCCGGCTCCGACCGTACCCATAGGTCTAGGAGGACCAACCAGCTCTGGCTCGGCACCGACGACATGTGGATGCCCCGGAGCACGGGCATGAATACGAGCGACCTCAGGTTCAAGTCCTGCTCTACGCCCGGGTGCGGCAGGACGTCGGGGTTTTTAGAGTGCAACGCCATGACGCTCAGGGCGGGGTTCGACACCTACACCGAGCACACGACCGTGGACACGTTGGCGAAGAGGATGGCGGACATAGAGGTGACCGCGAACACGACCTTCATCTTCTACGATATGGAGGTGACCAGCACGAACGAGATAGACCAGCTGTCCGCGGTCGCGGTACAGGACAGGCACATCGACCTGGTCATCAGGGCGACCACGAGAAGGAACAACAGCCCGATCATCAGCAGGTTCTCGCCCATGGTCTAGATAGGAGATGGCGACCGAGCCCAAGCCGGCGTTGGATAACTTCATCGTGTGGGTGAACAGGGATGCACAAGCAGACGAACCAGACCGGGTTCGAGTCCGACGTCGTGCAACAAAGCCTTGGTGAGGTCTGCTTTCAGACATCGCAGTGCCCTCGACAAAGCCACCCTGCGACCAAGGCGGAGATTGCTGTGTATCCGTGTCCGATTAACAAAGCCCTCTGGTGGGGTCTATTTGCAGCGATTAACAAAGGATTCTGGTGCATTACGCACTTGAGGTGATTCCTGCTCCACCGTTGTTATATACGAAGATGCCAAATACTCGACCGTATACATCGCACACAAAGGGCGCGCCCGCGCACTACCTTCTTTCGATAAAGTGAAGAGACTGGGATATATGTCACTCGCTTCACAGGATGAATTCACGCTCAGACAACCCGCTGGAGGCTGGCGCTCCTGGCCAGGCCGCTAGCTCGCTTTCCTCCTCTGATGGTGACACTGCTGATGGTGACACTGCCTGCCCGTCGCAGCCATCACCGCCGAATATCCCTAAATCCCTTACTCTGCCGACCTCCACGCACGAGACCCTCGATTCTGTCCCGACAATCACACCGCCGCAAGCCAATGATATGTCTACACAGCATACTGTGCTTCTGAATCAAGCAGACAGAGTTCGAGCAGATCTGAGAGCATACTTGACCGGCAAGTTTATTGAGTTCGCAGACAAGCCTCGCGAGTATATCCTACCTACGTCGGACTTTCACGGACTCCTGGAGAACGATGACTTTGAGTCTGACAGAAAACAGTATGCTCTCCTTATATGGTCTCTCCCAAACTAAATACTAACATTACTCGTAGGGCCGGGGTCAAATTCTCATATAACTCCCACACGTCAACTCTCACCCTCTTTACCATACAAGGAGCGAGATATACTTTCATTATCCAATGGCTCACTACTATAGCCCTATCGAAATTGAATCCCTCAATCGTGGGTAAACTCTACCTAGTGGGTAGCGGCGACGAAGTCTTCGAAAGCGAATGGAAATGGTCTACAAAGCAGCCAGATCTAGCTATTGCGTGGAACGATAACGGACCCGGATACGAACTACATACTGTTATTGAGGTTGGCGTTGCACAGCCTTACAATAGTTTGCTCGACGTTCGGGATATGTACTTAAAGGGTACATCCACAGTCTCTAGATTCGTCTTGGTTAATATTACTACGGACCCCGAATATCGAAGCCCAAAGGGTTTTAATATCGACGAACTGGATAACATTCGGAAAGAGGATTTCCAACTGGATTCAAACCAAGGGCCACTTTGGTATAAGGGTGTCCAGTGGATAGGGAAAAGTACGCTTTTGTGGGAAGTCTGGGAGCGAGGTTCGAACAATGGAAAGCCGAAGCGGGTTTTTTCCGTAACTATCGATCCCGAGGATAACAATACCGAACTCCCATTCTTCGAGATACCCGCCACAATCGCAACAGGTACTAACACGGTGGTAATTACGCCAACGGACATTAATACGCTTTTCGCTGATCGGTTTAAACATCTCATCGTTCAAGAGGCCTACACACGGATGTTAAGATATGTCAAGAATGTGAAAGAAAGCCGACAGTATACGGCGGATTTGGCGAGACGGAAGGACGAGGTAGACGAGAAGAGATCGAAAGCTAATAAGGAGCGTACAGAGCGCTGTAGAATTCGCTCGGAACGTCGAGAGAAGGCGGCGGATTTGGAGGAATAGAAGGACGATTTTATGGTCCACCAAGGCCTACGCCTACGTCGTCGGTGGTAAAGCTACTATACATAAGTCTAGGCGCCCTCAATAGCCATTTCTCCTGTTCTAGGTTACGCCGTGATAGTTTCTAAAACCGTTCGACTACAACTTGCATACGATCGCATTGAACTAACAGCCTACCTGAAACGTATTCGAGCTAATGACAACATCACTCCCGACTATCTTTGTCACCCGGGAAGCAGGGCTGTTACAATGACTGTTACAATACGCTTCCCGGCCGGCAACACCCCATGGGGCGAACGGCCCCCAATGCCAAGGCGGCCCCCAATGCCAAGTCGGCCCCCAATAGGTATACACAGAAAGAGATAAATAGGACCTCGATTCTCGCACTGCTAGAGAGGCCCTCAACAGTGCGAGAAGTCGATGTCTCAAGGACAGCTTTATACAATCAAGATACGTGTTGAAACCCTCTGACTCTCCGTCTAACGATCCCACCCCAAGGCTCTCTGACAGCCACAGTCTAGTTAGGAGATAGCTGCCTACAGACATATCCTGCTTTAAGGTACAAAATGAAGGCAGTTTCCTCCCAGGACTCGCTCACACAGAGACCCTTCAAGCACCTAACCTAGCCACCATTAGAGACTTCATACGCTTCTACGCCACGACGAGCATCCCGTTACTCGACGAAGAGATTCCGACAGTTGACTCTCTCAACACTATGGCCGAATGGTTGTTTGCCGGGTTTAACCAAGTTACGGGGATGTAACGGCCAATGTAACGGCCACAGCGTGACAGGTGGCTCACGTGACAGTTGGAGGCTTGGCAGAGGGAAGCTTGGCGGACGTGCGCCCCACACAAATAAGCGCCAGCACGCTCCTTTCTTTCTCTCTTTCCTTTTTCTCTTCAGATTAGTCTCTCGTACAATAGGAATACACATCTTTGGAGCTTTCTCCATCTTCCATGTGCCTTACCGTCACAGGGGACCGAGATCGTGGAAGCGAAAAGAAGTGTATCCTGTATGTACATATATGGAAGACACTAAATTCTTCGATTTAAGGCTAAAGTAGAGGCTCTTTAGTAGTTTGTCCGCATAACGATGGTAGAAGAAAAGCTAGCGATCAACAAACACCGACCAGCGGGCAATTCTACAAAACATACCCTACCATACTTGAATAGGACCTTGTGAATAAAGAACGGCTTGATCTTTATTCCAGAACGCTACAGAATCCAGACTACCTTTGTCACCCGGGCTAGCACCCGACCCTCCGGTTCACAACACCCATAGTGTCAGAGAGCCTTGGGGTGGGATCGTTAGACGAAGAGTCAGAGGGTTGAACACGTATCTGTATTGTATAAAGCTGTCCTTGAGACATCGACTTCTTGCACTGTTGAGGGCCTCTCCAGCAGTGCGAGAATAGAGGTCCTATTTATCTCTTTCTGTATGTGCCTCGTGGGGGCCGCCTTAGCACTTGGGGGCCGTTGGATCCATGGGGGCCATTTACCTGATGGGGGCCACTCGCCCCATGGGGTGTTGTCGGCCGGGGAGCCCGGGTGACACTTAGAACGAGAAGGTGTGCCTGTCGATCCCGTGTCCTTTGTGGAGGGCTAATGCCTAGAGCGACCTCATTGATGTCGCTGGTGGATGGTGTCCGCTTGCGCGAACAATGGCTTGGAACAGGACGAAAGGTTCTCCACGGCTCGGAACCAGGGTTCTCCTGCCCCGCCGATCCTTCTTTCGTTAAGCCGTACATGTGTAGGATCAAGTGCCGTTGGCCTTCATGGTGTTTATCCCCCATCCGAGAGCCGTTCTTGGAAAGACCAGCGACGCACCCTGATCCCCCACCTTCATGATAAATGTTACAGCGGCGATTACCGTGAGCTCGGGGAGCGCTTCTGGGCCCTGCAATAATGCCCGCTCTCATCTCGGGGGGAGTCTCTTACCGCTGTCAACACGGTCTCGCATTCAGAGACCAGCCCTACCGTGGAGCTTGAAGAGGCGAGAATCCATGCACGTGCTAATGAGTCCAAGAGGTTCGCTTTTCCCACCAAAGCGCCCCCTTTAGCTTGCCATTGAGAGCCAGCGTGGAAAAAATGGACTAAAGTAGGCTGCTTTTCTCGCATTAGTAGAATCTAAGATTTCTATCCATGATGATTGGCTGCCCAAGTCCGATCACTGTAGTTCCCGGCCTCATCGTCTGGTCCGACCTTTCGAAATCAGGGAGATGCAGTGAGCGATTGAGCTAGAATGTTCTCTAATTTCTTCATCTCGTAGGACATTTCGGCCTTGGCACATAACCTTCGGACCCGAATTCGTCCTCCACGAATTTGAAAAATGGACGACCATCGTCTCTTTCTGCAGCCTTATTTCACCATCACTCCCATCACTTTTTCGCCAATATTGTCAGTCTCTGAAGCTACCTGAATTTCATGACTCCCACGACTCGCCAGTCTTGCAAGCATACCACCTGGTTTAGTGTGAGCACTAGTCATGAAAATGGGTTTGGGCTGCTGGTGACACAACGTCCCCGCCAATTAATGAATCAGGTGTCAAATTCGAGCGAACGATGTCCCCGCCTTATGGTGCTGCTCGGACGGCAGAGTCGAGCGTTAGCTTTACGAACTCTCTGGCCGTCGGCTTTCATACCAAGTTCTTGCCCCAATGGGTTTCAAATGCACCTGGACGCTAGCTCTGCATTGGGAACAGCACCGCCTGTTGTGTTGGTGCAAGGGGACTTGCAAGAAAGGCTGTCATAAGCTCATGGGCTGTGTCCTTGTCACCGAACAAACCATGTTATCATACCCAAGCAAGAGGGTCTCGGCGTATTCACACCGAAAACCTCTCCGCATGCTGTGGTTTGCGGTCGGGTTGTTTGCCCTTTTGCTGAGGTTGTTTGTGTCTTCCTTTCGGATTATCAAGGCCTGGATGTCGTCGTTATGGAACTCGCGTCCTGGATGAGGTCTGGTCCAGCTTCTACATTCGGCAGCTGCGCCAGGCCGCGACTTGTTTTGGTGGCCGACATGGGCTCGACGCTCACAGCGGCGAGTATGGCGGTGCGCCTTTCTCAGGTGAGTGATATGCCTGTTTCGACTTTGTTCTCTACTATCTCCATCGTGTCGTTATACCCCGAACACTCACTCTCGGCTAGAGGATTGGAAGGAGGCGGGCCCAGAGGTGGCATTGCATTACCGTGTAGTGTGGGCAGTTTTCAACCAAAGTCAGGCTGAATTCGCCTTACCGAAGCAGGATTCGGAGACAAATGTTCGAGCTCTTTTCCTTCGATCTGGCGACGACAGTTAATCATATCCTTCACCGGTTTATTCGCGCCTAGTGAAACGCTCCCATTCTCAGCCACTCCATAGTCGGGCGTTCCCATCATAGCCTTCTCGACGAAGGCAGACTCCGGGCATCGCCTCCAAACCGAGGGACATAAAAAGTGACCTTGAGCCCATGTCTGGAATTCTCAGTATTATCATATCTGATACCTAAAAATCTGCTTACACTAGGACAAAGAGATTGAGAAGGGCGAGAAAAACACTTGTCGGTCAAAAGGGAAATACAGGAATTCAAAGTCAGCTCCAGCAGGTCCAGAGCACTGTATTGAAAAAAGCAAGTGGTCGCTTCGTGGTGATTTTGCGTATCTATTGGAACGACTGGACTGTAAGGTTGCGTCGAGCGTTCTTGTCGCCTTAGAGGCCCCGAGCTACTTTTCCGTGAAGACAAGTATAACTAGCTTTTTAAGACTGTGAACTCTCTCTTTCAAATCCTCGAGTGCGTTATTGCTTGTTGCAAGATTTTCATTCATTTGAGTTATTACATTGATCATTCCCTCGCGCTTCTGCCGTGTATTTGTGTGTCATGATAGTCGGGCCAAGGGTGAAGCTTTCTCGTTCTCGTCCAGGGCAATCTCACTGGGAGGATCGGGGAACAAAGTGGAGGCGGCGGCGGAGCTTAGTTGTCCGTCTAGATCGGTTGATACGCGATCAGTTGACGAACTTGAAATTCGCAAGGCAGGGGAGGTCTGGGTTCTCAATGTCAGCAAGTCGTAGGCCGTTTTCCAATTGAAAAGCACGCGAGAGTTCCATATCACTCTGAGTGATTCAACTGGTGCAACGGATTTATTCTCGACACACTATTGTGGGTTTTCCCCTTTGCGACAGTGAGATCGACTTTGTCCTGAGCGGCAACAATGTTCAATTCGGAGTCTTCCTCGATGTTTGGAGTGCCACCGATAAGACATGTCAGCCAAGAGCCCGTAACGTACGACAGAATCATGCTGCATTCCATGTTGCAAGACATGTTTTCGCGCTCTTCGGTCTGTCGTCGCCTATCACGCTTTGAGCTTGAATTGATGGAAATTGTAGTACCAAGGACTATCTGAAAAGGTTGCTGGGTCGACAGTGAGGATGATATGGTGGCGCAGGCACGCTTGTGCTAGCGCGTCCACGTGCTAACCTGGTCGTGACGGCGCCGGCGGCTAGCGATGCAAGGCGTCTCGTGGCCACTTTAGGAGAGGTCAGATCACTCTCGCCATCAGTGATGAAAGTGACGGCGAGGCGGACCTCAGACCAATTCTACTAATAGAGCTCTTCGGCCGTCCGATGAGACCCTCTCCCAAGACAACATCCGCCCTTTTTCAGGTCCTACGTGGACCTCTGGACAGGAATCAAAAGTGGACGTTGAAGGGAGACCTGGTCCTTCTCTTCCACTTCGATCACCTTCGTGTTCGGCCCATCGGGTGCCATCAGCTACAACTGCAATACCGCCTTTATGGCCTGCCGGATACGGTGATCCTCGAAAGCACTCAGAGTGAGGTTTTCTATGGCATATTCCCGGGACCACAGCTAAGCTGGCCTCCTCGTCCGTAACATTCTAGCTGGAGGGAAGAAAGAGTCACAGCGCAGAGAGAACGAGGAGCACAACATGTAGGGACGGCATTGCCGAGACTACAGTGACTGGCCAAAGCTTTGAGCTATAATCCTACTATCAAATGTGGTGACCTGATCGTCAGTCGCCGGTGTACCAGTTTATCCTTCGTCAGTATGTGATTGCAACGCCTGATGCACCTACCACCATCGCATTCTTCTCCTTGTTTCTTCTCATTCTGCTCGCACGGCAAGGCACAGATCCACTCTCTGACCATATCGTTCCCAACCACTGCCTGTTCTTGACGGATCCTCCAACGAAGCCCGCATCAAGATGATCTTACCTCTGGAGCAAGCCACGGGCCTGAGGAATGATAATGGGCTTGGAGGAGACCTGGTAGATCGAGTTGTGCACTGGTATTCTAAATCTGTGTGAGATGATTGGATCCTACTAAAAGAGCTCCCCAATGGAAAATTTCATGAGCAAATCCTCACACAAAATGAAAGCAGTAGACCGCAGGACAAGCGACAACACTAAGCTTAATTCTGGTGCGCTGCAGATGAAGCATAGGCAAAGGGTTTCGTGAGGCCTTGGGTTCGCCTACCAGAGGGGAGATAATGCCAAATGACCCCAACTGGCCTCATATGAACTACCATGAACACAGGCCAGGCACGCATCTGCTGGGTTTCGAGGACTTGTTACTCGCAAGCGCGACTCATGAATTCTTCTCCTCTGATCAGGTCAAGTTGCATTCCGCCAGACGACCATGCCCTGCTTCTGCTGGACGATTGTATCGTCGGAAATGAAAGCGGGACCAAATGCCTTGCGTCGGTGGACGGATTTGGGCCTCCCATCAAACAATTCCGTCACAAGGCAAACAGAAGGCAACCAGTCAAGCCGGTGTTGCAAAGCGTCGATCGTTTTGCATATGTGTTATAGCACCAAAGCGACCACATAAACGACCGTCCCCCAACGTTTTACTTCGTTTGGCGGACGGAATGTGACTCCCTCAACCTGTGTGCATAACAAGGCTGGTAATCGGCACACTCAGTCATCCCAATCGCCGCGATCATAACACACCACATCGTTTTTAGACAGCTGGACCTTCGCGATTTCTGTGCCGCTGATGTAAACTCGTCTCAATTGGAGTTTCGCCGCTGTGCACGTCAGAAATTGCTACAGAGTTGGCGATTGACCCGCATATTTGACATATAAGAAAGGAGAGTCCTCTGCCGACGTGCGCGAGAGCCTAGGCATGTCCGTCACCGAAACTGGTGGGTGTAGCAATCGTTCTCTTCCTATCCGTAAGCGTAAAACGGCTTGTAGAGCTCGAACAACATGGGTGTCTCGTTCCTAGAATCCCGTGTGAGTGATGTCTCAAGTCGTCTCTCGCTTGCTGTAGGAGGATGGTGGCTGAGTTATAGACTCTGGAGTCTCAGCTAGCTTCACTGTCTGAAGTCGTTTCCTCATCAGGACCCTTCTATCCGCGCCAGTGTAACAGCGATCATACTATCCGGCGATTTCTCAGCCACCAATTTCATGATTCTCCTGGAAACGTGAGAACGCAGGACGTGAAAAAGAAGTCCAGTTTGTACACCGTCTCCACCACCCATCAGAGAAAGCCTTTTCAGTGGCCGTGAACATTTTGCCATGTCTACATCCAAGACAAAAGATACCCCCAAGCCGAAGACCATGGAAGAACAGTGGAGCAATTGAGAATCTTACCGGGCTGCATGACGATATGGAAAAGCAAATCAAAAAAATTGCAGAGGAAGCTGGGAAGGTCGTACCAACCCTCGAAGAGAAGATGAGCAAAGGTCAGTTGTACTTGGCATATTCTTCACTACAAATGTTCTTGAGAGAAGTTCTCAGCCCAGCCTGTGACTAAGTCATATAAAGCAAGGAGAGAGCGAGAGAAGCGTACCGGAATCAACTTTTGTCAAACGGCAGAGGGACCTCAAGTGATGATAAAAAGGAAGTGGGACTTCACTCCCTCCCACGTCGCAATGAGAGCGCCACACAAGGACGTCCAGAAACTGGTTTGAAGCAATTTCCTCAGAGGATGCACCAGAACCCGCAACGAGATGCTTCGATCCAAGTGTCACCCGCGGCTTGGTGCTTTCGCATATCGATGCGACCTGTCGTACCGGGCCCTCTGAAACAGGCAAAAGACGGACCACGTTGCTATTGACACAGCATATCGCGCTTGTTGAATTTCTTTCCCATACTTCGTACGATCCACCACACGGAATATAAAATGTTTCAAAGAAACTCTCCTATCACAAAGCAGCTGGAGACCTTCGTCACTGAGCAGGAGAAGCCCGACATGGAACTTGACTTCTGGGTAGACTGTGATCAGCACTTCGGGCACTTCGGCATTCCTCTTTGTTACCAAGTGTCACCCGGGCTGGCACCCGACCCCCCGGTTGACAGCACCCCATGGGGGGTGATTGAGTGCGAGCGGCCCCCACGAGGTGCACACAGGAAGAGATAAATAGGACCTCTGTTCTCGCACTATTCCAGAATCCTTCAACAGTGCGAGAAGTTGTCACCCGTCGGGCTAGGCCACGTCAGGACTAGCCTGGCCAAGGCAACCCAGCCTTTTTTACCTTCGTTATTCGAGCCACAGACTCTCTCTCCTTCCTGATACTCAGATAGACAGAATGCACTCAACAAACAAACCCTGCCATTGCCGCAATCCCCCCTTTTCCTTAGTTGTGGGCTGGCGTCGAGACACATTTACTTGTGTCGCGCAACAGAAGTCGATGTCTCAAGGACAGCTTTATATAAATCAAGTTACGTGGTCAACCTTCTGACTCTCCGTCTAACGATTTCACCCCAAAGCTCTCTAACACCAAGACTTCTGGATCGCTTCTTCCCCCAGCAACATCGGCGACACATCTAGCCCCTCGTCAAATCCAGCATCTTGTCAGATCGACTACGAGGGTAGTACTGAGTATCGGTACAAGTTGCCTATAGTTGCCGACGAGCCGGCCTCGACACCATCGCAACAGATCAGTCGATCCTTCGGAAGGGAATCGCCTCGCAAAAAAAAAATTGGCAGATACAGCGCTTCACCCACACCGATTGCCTGGGAAAGAATCAGACATTCAGAACACCCTCTAGCTGGCAAAGGCACATAGACAAGCACACGCGACCCTCACCACTGTCTCATAGTCGGATGCACACGGGAAGAGGGGTTCGGCTCCCGATCCGAACCTCTGAGACACGAGCCCGAGATTCACGGGAGGGATGCGACACGACTATTCTGCATCTTCCCTTCTTGCCCACGAAAGCGCGGATTCAAACGGGAGGAGCATAGGCAGAGCCATGTGTCGCGAACACATAGTCGTTGTGCATAGGTGATGAAGAACACTAATGTAATGTGTGACGGATGGAAGATCCTTTCTCCCGGAATGCGTGGGATGTGCGGATGTTTCCAGACCAGAGTATACTATATGGTAGCTTACCAGAAACCCATGGTATAGAGCAGGAGGAGCCCTTGGAGAGACAAATTAACCACTCTTACAGATGGAAGATCCTTCGTCCTGGAAGGCATGGGAATTGCGGATTCTCTGTACCACAGTATACTACAAGGCAGCTTTCATGAATAAAATATCTTTCGTTAAGGTTGTACTTGGCCGCATGATCGCCGACAGAATACAGCAGGGCTCAGCTTTGGAACCCTGTGGCTCTCACGTCACCGGTTCGAGAGGACACTGTCCATTATTTTGCTTGTCACAGGGGCTTCGGCCACAACTGTCTGTCAATCTTGATCACCTCCTGGCTGGCTAGGGTGGGTGGTGGTGGTATGGACATTCTTGACCGCCAATCAACGTGAAATTCTTTTTCGCCAATCCTGCAAATCGACAGCCACAACAACAGTGGTGACGAGATTAAATGCCCCTAGAGGATGTCCCTCGCGTCCCCGACGTTCAACTTCTTACGGCCCTCTCTGCCAGGCAGAGGTGTACCCAGGCGTACTGAGACCATTGTTCGCAGGATATGGAGAACACCTTGCAGAACAGTGGAAAATCTAAGTTACTTCCGTGAATGCCCGAGCGAGATCTGTCTTTCACAGCGTATCGTTGCGGCTACTGAGACGTCTCTAATGCAGCAATTTGCATAAGTATCCGCTGCTTTCCGTTCTTCAGCACTTCACTTCTTCACATCTTCCCAGGCGTAGTCTCTGTTTCTCAACATTTCCCAATGTTTTATACACTCACCATGTTCCTGTTGACATGGCTGTGGCCCGGCAAGCGCAGTGTGGAAGACGAGGGGAATGAAGTCAAGCAAGGCAAGATAGCCATCGGAGTCAGGTCTTCACAGATCATCTATATCCCCGGACTGAAAGGGTCATCAAAGCCAGCAAACTCCGTGCCAGTCACCGAGCAATGGCAATCAAAGAAGTCAAGAGCGGTTGGCATCCTTTTCGCCAAAGACAGCCCTTCGGAGAGGAAAATGAGTGACAGGTCCACCCCCATCGGCAACAACCTTGCCCGCGACAAACCCTTTTTGGACAGGAAACGAAAATCAGACCGCTGAAGATGTCTCCGGGGCGTCGACACCGGCACCACTCGCCGTGCCAATGAAGGTAGAAATCTCTGAGAGGGAATCAATCGCCATAGGTGGTATTACCAAGTTAGCCCTTATCGCGGCAGATTTTGGGCTAGGGGACTTTTGTGCAATGGTTGGCGACAGCGAGTGGCTTCTTCCGGCGCTGAAGGGCCCCCTGAAGCACTACACCGTCGAGCAGCTGCAGGCAGTGTTCACGGCACCGGACCCCGATGCCTGGCCGACAGCACCACTGCACACGCAGTTGCCCGACATGCACAGGATTGGCGACTCGCTTTATGGCTGCGATGTCCTCCTGTCGACATGTGAGCACGTGAGCACGAGATCAGGTGAGCGCAGAATGGGGTGGTTGCCAGTGGGCAGCTCTGCTGTGGCCTTGTTCTTGACTTCGTCATTGAAGCCCGGTGCTCATCGGCAACTGTTCCCAAGTCAGTATTAACTTAGCACAGGGGTTCCACCAAGCTTCGAATAAATCCTTTTGCGCTCGACAAGTTAGGAAGACGTTGGAAGAGGCCTGATCGAGGGAGCAAAACGCACGGACGAGGGAGGAAATTGACGATCGAGGCAGTCTCACAGAATTCCCGCATCCAGCAGGTCGCCTCGAGCAGGCCAAGCGGAAAAGGTCAACCCAGAACTACCAGATGATGACGAAGATGAGTTCAGCTCTGGTTTCGAGGACGAAGCGCAGAAACCCCAACTGCGTTGGCGTTGGAGTGAAAGGATGGAACTGTGGCACCACAGACCCTGTTCAGACTCTCACACTCCGGTACAGGCACCTGACCGGGTGTCTGGAAGTATTCCTTGTGCGGGCCATGGTGGTCGTGCTGGGACGCTCGCCAGCTATTCGACAGCAGGCCGGAGCGAGCTGCGAGCTCTGCTGCCCCACAATCAGCTCTCGACCGACGACTTTGCCGGCTGGCTGGTTCTGCAGACCAACGTGGCTCTTAAAGGTATCCTTGGCATTAAAGCCATAGCCGGGCTTGCAGAACTCACGGAGAACTACGCAGATGCGAAATGTGACTGGAGGTGCCGCTTGATTTTTCATCGCAAGAGAGACACTCTCTCCCCTCGTACCGCTCTCGTCAATGAAATGGGCTATAACCACCAAGACATACCTAATGCTGGTAGAGATCAACTCAACGCCAGCTGTTGGGGAGAATCCTGGAAGGGTCCCGACCCGGCACCACTGTTGGCACGGAAATCAACTAGACGACTTGAGCGCCCTTGAGGACAATGGCCATAACGGCCGCCGCACAGGCGCCAACTATGATCGACCTCTCAACCGGTGAGGCGAAAACTTGGATCACATCGAGGGAACTCTCGAGTTGCGAAATGTCAAGCATTTCGACCCGTCACGAGCTGAAGTGGTGAAGAAGAAGAGCTCATGCAACGAATGGAGCAGAAAGATAAGAGAGGAACGGAAAGAGAATGCGAAGAGGCGAGACTGCACTAGTGGAACTCTGCTGGCCTCCTCAGAACTTCTGCGGGCGTCCGTGACGAATGATACCAGTTATGTATGTCCGGAACACAGGCCATACCTTTTGCTGTCATTCTAGCCTGGTCCCGTCCCTTTCACGTGAGTGTGTTTGATCTCGATATCTGACAAGGTCGGACACAACCGCCATGAATTGCGCCTCTCCTCCCAGATGGGAGAGCCTATTGGCTGTGACCGGAGGACAACACCTCCAGCCCGACGGTGCGCCGAGTCACTCCCCCGCGAGCCAGCCGAACCTCTTCTTCCTCGCATCCTCTTAATACCGACCTCGGGGAGAACCGGGACAAACCATCCCACTCGCTACCGTCCTTCCTTGATTCTCTCGGGGAAGTCCGGTCAGACACTGGTAGAATGGATCCCATGCGAAGCCTTGATAATCCCGGCATACCGACCACCAAGGTGGATTCCGACGTCACCTTTACTGGCAAATCTCATGAGCTGCCCCGATTGTGGTTACACTTGGACATGAAGGCGATGCTTGACGCCACCCTCGTGACCGACAACCGCAAAGCTGCTTACGTCGCCTCCTTGTTCCGAGAGAGTGCACTGGATTGGCTGGCCCGTCAGTACCAGCTCCAACCTGACCGACTCACTGACTACGAGGGGTTCAAGCGATTGTTCAACCAGGCGTGGGGCTACTCTGAGGACACCCTCAAGCTTATGAACGAGCGAGACCTCATCCTCAGGCAAGCCACAGCAGGGAAGATCCAGGACTTCACCGCATGGTTCGAGGTCCTAGCGGCGGTTCTCCAGCTTGGCACTGTCACCAAACAGCCTCTGTATTCGTCGAAGTTACCCAAGGAACTCCAGGACAGGGGTCTCATTGGGGAGGAGGCCTCCATCTACGAGGACATCACCTCGGCAGCCAAGCGTATCGATGAGGGCTTAAGAGCGATTGGAGCAACGGTGGCCCCAGCCGGAGACAGGCAGCTGTAAGGCCCGCAAGCAGGAGAACAAGAAAGCGAAGGACGCCCCTTCAGGGTCGAGGCTAGCCAACGCTAGCATCAAGACTGAGCGAGTCAACATGATCTCGGTCCGCGGCGTACAACCGTACACCTCCCCAGTGGACCGGACGATGAAGATCACCACTGGTAAGAGGGTTTACCGGGCAGTACTCGACTTCGGGTCCGCAGTAAACTGCGTCAAAAAGGCTCCTGATGACGAGGACGCCATGGTCCAGAATTCCAATATCGTCTTAACCGGACCCACTGCGGAGGTCCTGGTCGAGACCCCGAGGTATTTCACTACCACCGTCGACGATCTCCCACATACATTGTCCCGAAGCTCGTGGGGGATTGCATCCTGGGTCGCCCGTACCTGGATCAGGTCAGACCCCTCGACGTGTTCTCGATCGAATTAAAAGGTGAGATCCAGGACGGCGGCAGGCTGCGCCCCTTGCCACGCCTTGAGGGGGAGGCACTGGACGAGTTCCTGGCCGAGGCTCTGGAAAATAACTGGATCCGACCCAACCAGGCTCAAGAAGCCGCCAACGCCGTTTACGTGCGCAAGAAGAAGGGCAAGCTTAGGACCTGTATGGACTACAGAGCCCTCAATCGGGTCACGGTGGTTGACAGATACCCGATCCCTCCTTTGAGGGACGTCCTCCGCAGGGGTATGCCATATCGGTACTTCACGGTTCTGGATGGAAGGCACGCTTCTTTCCACCGACTTCGTGTTCGGGCCGGGGACAAACACTAGCCAGCCTTCAAAACCAACAAAGGCATGTTCGAAATGGTTGGTCGTGCCGTTCGGCGTAGCCAATGGGCCAAGCTTCCAACAAAGGTGGATGGACTTTGTGCTGCGAAACTGCGACTCCTTCTGGGCCTGTTACATCGACGACGTCATAATCTGGGCAAACTCCCCAGAGGAGCTCACGGATAAGGAAACGGAGGTCCAGGTCGCTATACGTGATATCAGTCGCGCCCAGGTCACGACTCCATTTGTCGCAGACTCGCAGCATCTCCAGAGTAGCCCGACAACCGGGGACATGTTGACGAAGACATCGTCGTCGGGATTCGTTAAGGTTGCAGGAGTGCCTCTGAATAAGTGAGCAGCAACGAGTCCAGCGGCAAAGGGCGGACCAGCTGCTGTCATATATACTTCATGGTGTGCATGGGCGGGCAAGGCTGCGAGAGACAATCAGGGTATCTTTCCGGGTTGTTTTGTCATTGAATTTCGAACAGCCAAAGTCTACCAATTTGAATTCGGATGGCTCCGACAGCGGCCTCACGACATCTACCGCTTCTGCATCGGCACCGACTTCCACCAGCTCCAGCGGCATCAAGAACGACGTTTCGGCGTGAGGAGAGATTGCTGCTACACGACCAGTGTATTTGTGATAGTGCAGCCGAACAGTCGGCTACCGTAGGGCAGGCTAATTTTCGATATCTATCAATATTCGGACTACCTCCGCGAGACCACAGGCTGATCATCATCGAAGACTCTAACATCGAAGGAGAGTGCTACGCCAAGTGCATCGGTGTGCCAGCCGGGAAAGAACCAGATATCTTCTCGGTTTGGTCCTGTCTTGGAGAATGTCGTCTTTAACCCTAAGACCCGTGATCCTAAACCTGATCCTAATCCTAGCACTATACTCGCTATACTGGTTGGCCTGCTCGAGCAAGATAAAGAGCATGAGTATCACATGGAGGAAAAGAAGGAAGCAAGGAATCCACCACATCGGTAGAGATGAATGGCTGCAATAGCACGATTCTCTAGCTATCTAGCTAACTGTTGTTATGGGCTGTCTCTGACGGAGTCTTCAAAGGAAGGAAGTGGGATAGCGAGGTAGAAGTAGCCCTCGGCAGACCTTCCCCATCTTAGCCAGTCACGTGTTGGCGCGACGCGTGACAATGAGAGCCGGTTTCAAGATCCAGACAACGAGATAGGCTTGTTTGCCTGTCGGTCACACCGGAAGAGAAATACCCTATACAGATGTCCGTGTCCACTTCCTCGCAGCCTCATGAACACTATCATTGTCATTCCCTACGCTTGGTACATCGACTGCCTCTGCCACCTTACAGGATACATCATGAGTGCAAACGACGAACTTGATTTTACAAGCGATGACGGGAGGAATGAATGGTGCCACAGATCCCAACGCTCCCGACCCCATTGGAGCCGGCCCCGGATTGTCTCTGTCTGGCCTGGCACGCCAGCAGCAATAGCCGCGGGCAAATTCAAGGCTCAAGCAGAGAAGATTCGAAGCAAGAGCAGCCCATCTCCGGCAGAATTCGAGCATCGATGGTCTGACGCCAGGTGGATTGCCGTCGCGCGTTTCGAACACGTCTTACACGTCGGCGGTACAAGCGCAGTCGACGGCTCCGCGCCGAGTTCCGCGTGCGCCGTCGCAAGCGGCAGGCCGACGAGAAGTCCGGCGAGGCTTTGAAGGAGAACTTCGGTCCCTCCTCCCGTCCGCCAGCCTTATCTACCATAGCGGCCGCGTTGCTCAGAGGCGTGTCGCCAGTTTGGGGAGAAAATTCCAGCGCCGATTGTTCAACGGATCCGAGTTGCGGATCTGGTTTGGCAGTGACTTCCAGGTTATTGTACTCGTCATGCCCTTGGCTCCCACTGGATTTACTTGGGGGAAGCCTGATTGTCGGTGAAATAAATGGGGTGACCATGAGGTCGTGCGATATCCCCTTGGCCTTTCCGCAGAAAGCGAAGCGTTACTGTCGTCGATCATGGACGAACGCGATGTCCACGCCCAGATTTCCCGGTGTCAGCTCAAGACAGGCTGCAACTCGATCACCTGGTACATGGGCATCGACTACTTTAGGCAAGAGTTGAGGGACGCGTCACACGAGAAGGAACATGCCCAGACGCGTACGGAGGGATCATGGAAGTGGTTCAAAACAATGTTTTTCTGACTTCGTCTGTTTTCAATCCGTTCGTCGCCCACAAGACCTTCCACGCGACTCCAAACATCCCACCGAACGGCAGGCTTTTTTCGCCTCGCGGACTAGGTCCCCGTCGACGTTGCGCTTCTTGCCAGTGCCCTTGGCGCCCTCGAACGTCTTCGGTCGACGATGGACAATTGTGGCCGGCGAAACTATTGCCATTGTTAGCTCGGTATGCCGACACGACCATCACTGATCAAGAGGAAGCTGACGTCGCCTTCTTCTTCCTCTGATTCCTCCTCTTCAGACGTGTCGGAGCCCTCTGGCTGGGTTATCTGATTCCCTGGCGACCAGAGTTCACAAGAAGACAAGCTACGTTGAGGGATTGTGGCCGAAGATTCGCCCATGGCTACCATCTCTTCAGACCAAGTCATCTCAAAGGGTGACTCGAGCCGCGAGGATGACCGGGACAACCGCTTCTGTGCCGACAGGCCATGTGGTGGTAACATCGTGATTATCCAGAACGCCAAATGGATGAGCGGACGCCGCGAGGGCTAGGGCCGCTGTAAGCCGTGGCATACTCAAGGCAGCTATTGTGGAGACGAGGCTTTACCATGCCAAGCCATTGTCAGTCCGACCTTATTTTGACACATCTGTTGAGCTTGTCCTCCCAGTGAAGGCTCCAAATGGCAATATGATTTCTGTTACGAGATTGCACGGATGTATATTTGACTTGCGAAGTATAATATCTGAGGCTGAACCACTAGCTCCCAGGCCACCTTGTGGAGCCAAGTAGCTCGTGATAAGGCAGACTCGTCATAGTTGGGGTTTCTTCAGAGAGCTCATGGACGTCTACGGCACGGGACCCTTGCACCTCCCTTCCTCCAGGCTCCGAGGCCTCATTTCTGGCGGCATGGAGTCTGACCTTCGTTCGGCTTTCAGGACGATACTGACCTCCGGGGCGAGTAGCACTCCGACTCGGACTCTTCCACGTGGCACAGAACGAAGCTCGCTTCTCCGATGGCTCGCGAGGCTCTACCGTCCTCAGTCACTTCGACCTCGGGCTACTTTGGCGGCACCGGTGCTGCGGCAGATATCTCGAATGACCCAATGCATGCAATTTCAAGGACAGTGGAGGAGTTCGAAGAAATACCTGAAGCGTACGACGGAGACTCAGGAAGGGAATCTTGAGCATTTCCGACAACAGACATTGCTGCCGCTCATTGAAAACATTTCATTTGTGAGTCAAAACAGAGGACGTACGACTTGCTTGGTTTCACCAGATGGCTACTTGTCCCAGTCACCACGCAGAGGTGCACGTCAAAACTGAGTGTCGAGAATAGCCCTCACCGACTAGGTTCTGCCACGGGGCTCTTGTCGCCTGAACTTGAAGAAGTGGGATCGACAACAACATCTGCGCCGAATTCTTGAGCGTAGAGTTTGCACTTCTCGAGCACTTCGCTGCCCACCACGTGCCGAGCAGGTGAACCAGTCCGATGGGACCGGCACCTTGGACCAAGGCGCCTTGCCCTGCCTGAAATCCCGAGACACCGAATAGAGGCTCAACTAGTGCACCGACATCCAGAGGCACGGAATCGGGTAATGTGAATACATTGGCGGCCTTGACGACTGCTTAACTCGTGAACGTATCTCTTTTTGATCAGCCAGCCCATCGCACTATTGTTTAGGCCATCAGCCTTTTGCATCTCCGTGCAGCAATCGGCAATGTCTTCGAAGATACCCCTAAGGTGAGCACGAATCTCTCCTCGATCCTCGCGAAAGGCCTAGTGTACAGCTTCTTGTTGGCCGTCACCGCAGAATCGAGACTGTGGAGCTCTGCAGCGAGGAGCTTCAATTATTCAGTGATATTGGCGATATCTGACGACGTGCTCTCATGTCCACATTACTGACGAAGTTGGTCAAGGGTGGTTGAGAGCTCTTGGGCTCGAGGTGCAAGACTACGCAGGTCGGTCGTTTCTTCAGCTCCGGAGGATGGAACTTCTGGGAAACCGCCACTCAAAGCGTCGAGGCCGTAGGAGGCAGTCTTGGTGCACAGAGTGATGTTGCCCATTCCACGCATCGCACACTTGGCCAGCCAAAACCGTGCATCTCCCAGGTTCGTCAGAGCAACGCGATCGCCCACCTTGACGTTGCAGATGCTAGAGACGAGCTCCACCACTGTGCCGAGAATTCATGTCCGAGGATGACGGGCAGCCGAGTACCAGGCTTTTGGTGTGATGAGCCAGGTTGCGGACATATGACTGGGCCAGAGGTGAATTCTTTTAGATCAGTGCTCCATATTCCACAGAAGCCGGGGCGGATGCGAATCTTGTCTGGGCCACACGGGAGCGATTCGTCGCTCTCAGTCTGAAACTGAACCCAATCGCCCTTGTATACTGCTTCTGGCGGATTGCTTTCGCTGTGGACAGTGGGCCACTAGAAGCTTGCACGAGAAGCTTCTCGCGACGCCGCCTGGTTGCCGACATGGACTTCAGGAAATGTAATTCGAGGAATTCCAGGAGCGATTGGCCTTCTCGGAGGCGCCTCCGTACATCAGCCCTACGAATTGTGCCGCTGGGACTGTCAGGGGTCGGACCCGTGCCTGGAAGGTCAACAAGGCGGGAGAGAAACCTCCTCGACCTAACCCCCCATCCTCCCCCTACTTTCCGAAGCTTCCTAGCTATCTGGGCACTCCCTACATGTCCCCCGATTCTCTCCTCATGCTCTCTATCCTCGTTCACAGCGTTCTACACATGCCCTCACACGCTAACGAGCCGCAAGCGGTCCGGGTGCTCGGGGAGGCCCCGGTACGACAAAAACCGCTCCCACCCCCGCATCACATCCTGGAGAGCGATTTCACGTATAGTTACGTGCATTTTGCGTCACACCCGTCATAATACGACGTCTTATACACGTCCCACGTGCCAATTCGCCGAAACTCCCCCGGGTGCCAAGAGGGACCCCCGGCGTGACAAAACCCACTCCCACGTCCGCGCCACGCCCCGGAGCGCAATATGTCGGTTGGTTATATGCGTTTTGCGATACGCCGGCCACGACGAGACCACTCCGGGGTGGAAATTCGGTGGAAGAAGTTTTGGCCCCCATGTCGGTGAGTCAGCAAAATATCAACTTCGTCAATTCGTGTCCGATTCACATTCTGATTGTCGTCCGACGGAGCGAGGGAATGGGAGAGCTCAGTGATGTACTTGATTTCCTCGTCCGGAGCATAGTTGGTGGACAATCGCATCGTACGCCGCGGCCGGATTTACCAGCGTCGACGGCCCTAGAGCATCGGCATCAGAGCTGGGCACTTCATAAATATACTCAGAAGATTCCTCTCAGCGTGTTCAAGTATCTCTATACGGTTGAGTCTATAATACTAGCACGGCGTATAGTGTGGACGCGAAAAACCTTTTGTTTATCACCGTTTTCACGGGGCGCTGAAAACGATACCGTCCGTGTAAACTTATATCTTCTTCCGTCCTATATATTTCCTAAAGATAATCTTTCCTCTCTCTAGCTATCCCTCACTCGCGAAGTCGTGGGTATCAGTCGTTATGGTTTTGGATAGGGGTCGAGCTCGGGCTGTGTCGGATCGGCACAAAACGAGACTATTTTCCGCCAATTTTTCCCTTAGAAACCGTCTATTTCGGTACTCTCGATTATCTAGATATTGATACTCTCGTTATCTTACTAGGTTAAGTGCTAAATCGACCTATAATACATCGGTAGACTAATAACTCGGAGGAATACTGTCAGAGAGCCTTGGGGTGGGATCGTTAGACGGAGAGTCAGGGGGTTGAACACGTATCTGTATTGTATAAAGCTATCCTTGAGACATCGACTTCTCGCACTGTTGAGGGTCTCTCCAGCAGTGCGAGAATAGAGGTCCTATTTATCTCTTTCTGTGTATACCTGTTGGG